TGTATATATATACACACACATAATATATATACATAATATATATATACATAAATTGCTGCATTCATCTTGCCATCAATTTTGACTAAGTTTCCCGTGCCTTTTTAGCTCACACATCCCCAAAATTCAGCGATCCACCTCCATGTTTCACAGTAGGAACTCGTTCTAGATGTATTACCCATCACTGACCGCACGTAGGCGCATCGTCTGCACTGTAGAACGTTGGTGCAACCGTGAATGTCTTCCCCCGGCGGTTGAAAGAACAGCTGCTGGTGCCTGCAGACTGGGTTTAAAGTTCATAATGTCGGCCAGGAAGCCCAGGTCCGTGGCGAACCCTCTAGAGTCCGCGATCACCACACCCAGTGAGAGGATCCTAAAGGAATGTCACAGTTTATACATCGACAACGAAAATGGTAAATGTTTATCATCTCTGTGCTTGTTAGCTACGTTTAAGGAGCAGAAACCCACACATACACACACGCACGCACACCTGTGTCTTGTCGTTATAGTATAAGTTAAGTTAATAGTAGAACCGGAGCTGGAGTTGAAGGTGAAATGCTGATCAGAGGAAGTTCAGTGTGAGGGTGGACCACCAGCAGCAGGAGCTTCAGCCTGTCACTGTCACTTGTCATTGAGCTCGGGTCACCGTGTGGCTCGGCTGGGTCGGACGCAGGACGCATTCTACACATAACCCATGTGAACCGCCACTAATCCGTTAGCTTTCGATATCGATATCACAGCATGAAGTATCCACTACACAATAATCTGTTTGGGGGTTGACCAGTGAGGTGGTCAACAGTGGTCTGTGGAAATTCCTTCCAAGATCCCTTTGCTCTCTTTTCCTAAACGTCCAAATTAAATGTTTACAAGCTAAATACTTCAACTCCAACTGCAAAACGAGGAGACTTTAAAAAAAAAACAGTTACTGCTTAATGAGCAACTTTTGGAGATCAGCACGTGTTTTCTTAACTGAAAATAGCAAATACAATATACCAACCTAGAGTATTCACGATGAGTTCTGACCATTGAACGCTGGAGTAATTTACATTTATGCAGTTAGCAGACGGTTTTATCTCAAGCGACTTACCAGAGCAGGATTAAGAATCAATAAAGGTGACCTCTCCGTCGGGGAATTGAACCTCGTTCTCCTGCGGGGATATTCACCACTGTACTAACGAGGAACTGGTCGAGATTACAAACGAGTCATAAAAGGCAGTAAAAGCAATGACAGAGAAAACCTGCTTTGAATCTTTTGTCTTTGTGGGTCTCAGTTTAAGACATGACGTGGACCAAAACAAGTGGAATATCTGTAACCAAGACACCAGTGTCAGTATTGTCTTATACAGTTCCATAACTAATTATTTACATGTTTTTGCCAGACTTTTTTCCACCACTGACTCAAATACACTTTATGACACATACATTTAGTCAATGTAAGTCAGTAAAACAACGTTTAAGTTTTTGTTACTTTACATTGCTATTGGATTAATCACAGGGTGTCTGTAGATTATCAGCATTAATCAAGCTAAAAAAATCCTTATACTTTTACCTGTTTGTTTTTGTGACTAACCCAAATCACATAATCAATTTATTGCTGATGTTTCAGACAAATCAGACAAAACATTGCCCTGCCTTATTAACACTTAGTGGACCAAATAACTAATTAGTGCATACTAATTAGAAATATAGAGCAAATATTATGAATGCATACATATATTGTACCATTGTGTGTGTGTGTGTGTGTTTACAGGCCTAGTAAAGATTGCCAGCAGCCTTGGTGTGCGGCTCCTACCTCCCAGAAAGAAAATCATAGTGATGATAATGGGTAACCACTCAGCAGGGAAGAGTTCCTTCATTAATTGGTAAGACAAAGCTTCCTTAATGGATTCTGCAGAACCACTCAGTGCTGCCTCACAATCACACATTTACACAAAACGTTTCACTGAGAATTTCTACAGACGGATGTAGACGCACCATTTTAATAGGTGCTGTGTAGTGGCAAGAAAATCCAACAGTTTTGCCTCTGGCATTGTTAGTGTAGTGTGTTTCAACACAACAGTAGAAAGTCCGGTTTGAGATGTTTTAAAAAAATGATGATGAAATGAATGATTAAAATAAATAAATAAATAATTTGTCATCTTGAAATCCCCAAATGTTGTCTTCAATCAGATGAAAGGGAGGCCTTTTTTGTACTTAATAATTAAAAGTTCAGAAAATAGCATGCAAGTTGTTTTTTGTAAAGTTAGTTGTTATTTTAGAAAAAACAGTTGTACCCTTATAAAAATACGGTCAAACATGAGTTAGGCCTAGTGCACGGCTAAATGGGAAATGCATTATTTAAAAATGTTAATTAAAAAAGTTTTTAAAAAGTTTTTAAAGCAAATCAAAGCTTAATGTTACCGTTGCAGGTATGTTGAAGAGCATATACAGAAAACAGGAGTGGCCATTGAAACTCAGGGCTTTACTTTCATCACAAGCGGGCGGAAAAGAGAATCACTGACGGTGAGTTTGTCCTCATCTCTGAGTTTCTGATTATGTGCCTCCAACAGTAAGACCAGCTCTGTGCAGCTCGTTCTGCTGTGCTGCCTTTCAATGTTATTTGTAAAAGATCACCATCTTATATGTAGGTGTGTGGACGACTGTGGTTTTGATATTTGAAATAAGAGATTAGAAACCACAGGTTTTCATATCACTGTCTATGATATGCTGTACATTTCTGGTCCTCTGGCTCACACACACATACGCACAGAGACAGGGATCTTTGAAACAATCTTAGGAGAAACTCGTCTCTTCTTCCTCTCTGTCCATATCCTGCTGTGGTGATGATGAAGATGAAGCAGGATAAATGATAGATTTGCAGCGAAGGACTGCAGAGCGTGGAGGTGGGGGTGGAGAGTGTTGTCTGGGAAGAACAGTAAGCTAAGAGTAGGTGTCCTGAGCTGTGGGAAAGGATTGAAAAGAAAGCAGACAGGCTTCTTTTTTTGTATTTTTCTTTACATTTTATGAATTTCTATTTTTGCAGGGAAATGCAACTCTTCATCTCTACCCACACTTTCGACCCCTTTTGGAGTTTAAAGGTAATACTCATTTTCCATTTGTAATTTCTTTCATTTAAATCATACCCTGCAGTGTAAAAAATAAGTATGTTGTTTTTCTTTATCCACTTTTGATCATGGCTTTGCATCTTCCTCTCTTTGACACATGTGGAGGAGTTGTTACTGTTTAAATCCTCCTTTGGACAGTGTTGCTACATCACACCCTGTCACTGCAGTTGGGCACGTCTGTTTACACAAGGATGACTGTTCTGGCAGTGCAGCTTTGTATTCTACCACAGGAACAGACAAGCTGGGAGAAAGTTATGTAGTTGTGACAAAGATGTAAAACTCCCACAATGAACAGACAGCAGACAATGTATTCAACAACACAGTTACATCATGTGTATCTGCAGTGTCATACAACAATATCCATACTGTGCTAATGTGACACATCCGTTTAACATTAGTGTAATGGGTGCTGCACAGCAAAACAATGTTAATTTCTTTAACTTACAGTTATAAATTCTTTCCCCCAAGAACTGACCAAGAACTAAACATTGAGTGAGTTATATGGGGCTAAATGATGAGGGTAATTAGTCATGCATTAGTTAACCATTTAAACCAACACAAAAAAGATTTCATCACATAAAATGGTTAAGATGACAAGAGCCAATGAGAATCAGAATGTTTGTTCTCTAGAAGGAGGGGCATCAAAACAGATATCCAATCAGAGCACCGTGCACAATTCTGAAACGGCTTTGAGGGCTTCGACCCTAAAACTTGTCTCTAACTTGCTGTCCCAAATGTTAATGTTGGATCAAAATTACAGTCTTAAAGCAGAACAGCTCTAAACGGTCCCTTAAACAGACCGACACTAGAATCATAAACTGTAAGTGTGTGTACAAAGAATAGTCTAATAAAACAACAAACTACCGTTTCCCTCACGTTTTTCTTCTGTTACATGAAAAGTGACTATTGTGATAATTTCCTAATAAGTAAGTGTAGAATCCCTGCTTTATGCTACTAAGTGTCTAACTTACTGAATGGTCATACCCACAGGTACACACATTCAGATTTTTGGACAGGAGGGTACTTCTTTTGTTGGTTTTGCATAAACTACCCTAGACTTGTTATGTGTTTGAGTGGAGTTTGAATAGACACAGAGTTTGAATAGATTCAGATTAAAGATAATTTGAAATATGAAAACTGTTCCTGACATGTAGGCAGGTGAGTAATGTTAAAAACATTTCTTATATAATTTTGCACAGCATTAAATCCAAATTTACATACATATGATTTCAGTTTTAGGGGGAGTGTACTCAGATTTGATGTAACATCAGGGAAAAGCAGCACTTGTTCCAGGAAAGGACAGGACAGAAAGAGAGGACATGAGTATTACAAGGTAGATAGTTGTATTGATGAATTGATGGATAGATGGATGACTTACATAAGATCTCTTTTTTCTGATAACTCGAATGGTGATGCAGCATAGCAGGGAGTTCATAATGTGTGCCCCTCCATTAGGGGTTAGACTTTTATCTTTTTGTAGTCATACAAGAAGGAAAGGATTTATTTAGTGTCATGTTTCTTTACAAGAAAATTGCTCTCTGCTGTCTGGGCACCTCAGTGAGGATGAGGAGCCTCTGGATATTGAGGTGGACATGCGGAAAGTCAGGGTGTGCCTGCTGTCTGAGTAGGAGCATTATTGTAAGAGGAGGAGGGGGCGGTAATGTACGTGTGTGTGTGTGTGGCTTGACAGTCACAGCATAAAGAGCGAGGGTTCACTGGGTGCGTACCAGAGCGCTCACGGTGTGGCGCGTGATTCACACACCCCATCGACAGCAGTGCGGTGCAGTCAGGAGGAGCCGCTGAGCAATGTCACAGAGATGGAGCAGCCTCAGACTCCAGCAGCACTACACTTTGCAGGCCCAAGCTTTGCTACACCTTTTTGTGGAAATGCAACCCTGACAGGCGTTTGTGTTGCTGCCATGGCCACTGAGGATGACTCATCAGAAAAGCAGCATAAATCCTCATTTGGGAGCAGCTTCTCATCATTCACTTTGGAAATCTTCCTGGATTTACTTAAAAATGTGTTCTAGATTGTATTCTTGTTTGGGTGATTTCTTGTCCACCTGTTGTCAAGAGTGACTTTTACTGCGTTCTTTTTATGTATTGAGTTCAGTGAGTCAGTTGTAACATTTGTGGTTTGTGTTTAGCCGCAGCCTTTGCCCTTTTCCTTGTGCACAGTTTCTCCTCCGTAGCCTTCTCCGTAACAGTCACTTGAGAAACTTCATCCATCGGTGAGAGCGTTCATGTTTTCCCTCTTCACCTCTCAGGAGACTGAGAGGACTCGGTTTAAAGCTTCTCCAGTGAATGTATTCACTGACTCTGTGTGATTTGTTTTGTAGATCAACATTTTTCAACAACTCTTCTTACTTAACAGTGTCTCCTCCTGTGCTGTGACCACCATGTTCCTAGATTTCACTCTTGTAATCATGTGACAGGACGTAGATTGTACTGATAATGTGGTGATGCTGGTGAAAGAGAAACATAAGGGAATACTAATGCACTAGAGCAGCAGCAGCTCTCACTGCAGCACAAGAATGTGATTTGTACTGCCTCTTAACACCTGCCCCTTCCTTCTATCAAACAGCCTTAGTGTCATCACGGGCCTGGCTGTGGGTGCGGTTTGTTCACTAAATAGTGGGGTTGTGTCTAACTAGTGATTCTGTTCAGTTGCACACAGATGGGTGTGTTTTTCCTCAGATGGGATGGCTGATGAAGTTGTACGATGTAGTATTGTAGTCTCGGGTGGCGTTGCTTCACAGTCGTTCTTCACTGGCTAGCTTTATGTCACCACACCACGCACTAAAGCTGCCAGTTGAAGAGCTGTTGTGTGTAACCATGGCAACCGATTTGTCTGCAGACATCATTGTGTGACGGGTGACGGACATGTTTACAGGTTACACAAGAACTACACAAGAAGTGAAGGTGTCAGGATGTGGCTGCCACAGTTGACGTCCATCATGGCTAGAATGTAACGTACGCTTTGGTGTTTTGCTAACCGTGCAACAAGAGCCTTTAAAGCCGAAAAGCTGAAAGTTCACACGGTGATCCTCTTTGTCATTGCGCTTCTCCATGTCTGCCCAAGTATCGACTGCACTGCGGCTTCCTGTAGCACATCATAATTAAGTCATTAGAGGTGACGGACAGCGAGTCTAGGTCTGTGGTACTTTAATGAATCCTGAAGGAATAGTTCCTCGACTTACAGTCTCTCTCACTCTCTCTCTCTCTCTATTTCTCTCTCTCTCTCTCTCTCTCTCTCTCTCTCTCTCTCTCTGTCTCTCTCTCTCTGTTTCTGTCTCTGTCTCTCTGTCCCAGGTGTTATGGACTACCTGTCTGCTGAGATTTCAACCTCCAAGCAGAAGAAGTTCAGTCTGGTCACGTTTGTGGATACTCCTGGTCTGGTGGATGGAGACATGGTCTACCCTTTTGATGTCAATAGCGCCATCACCTGGTTAGGTATGCATTGGCATCTCTGATTGTCATATGTCACATTTTGCGGGCTGCAGCTAATAGTGACCCTATGAACAGAAAACATTAGACACACTGACACATGACAATTAAGAGGACGCCCAAAACTGTCACCTGTCCACCTTAAGCATTTCTTCCTCACATTACTGTGTTTCAAAAAGGCGTTGATGGCTTTTAATGACTTTTTGTCAGGATTAAAGCAAATGAACACAAAGTACTATAAATGCATATGCAATATTTTGTAATTACATACCAATTGTAGTATATGGTATATACTGTATAAGAGATTAGGTTAGGTTTGATGTGACCCATCTTTGCTCAGCCAGCTAGGGTGCAGGCGGTTATTTGCAGCCCTAAGTATCTGTTATATATACAGTAAATATGTTACTTCATGTCTATCCAAGCTTCACTGGAGGCTGCAGCAGCACCAGAGAGTTTGACAGTGAACTACAGGATTTGCACTTTACTGTTAAGTGCATGTTGAAGGGGTTCAGAATCACTACACCTATGATGGTTTCCGTTTTCTCTGCAGGAGAGCAGGCCGATTTAATATTTGTGTTCTTCGACCCGATGGGCCAGGCACTGTGCAAGCGCACACTCAACATTGTGGAGAAGCTGAGTGAGAAGTGTGGCGACAAGCTGCTGTTTTACCTCAGCAAAGCAGATGAAGCAGGAAAGGAAACAGACAGACAGGTAGCTTTCAGTTTTCTCTCCTTTGTACTTGTAAAGTTTTAACTTGGATGGAGTGAAATGATTCTTTCCTTTTTGGCAGAGGGTGATGATGCAGATCGTTCAGGAGCTGTGTCGCCGTCCGGGCCTCAATAAATGTGGTTTTGAGATGCCAACAATTTACATCCCCAACCCACAAAAGGTAAGAAAAAAAATATTGTACTGTGAATATTTCATGAATTACAACAGCTTTGATAATGAAAATACAGTGTTGAGTTCTGTTCACTTTTTTCCTCACATCTTTGTTCTTGGTGCTGAATTTAAAGCCCTTCTTCTTCTTGGGGTCAGAGCAGACATTGATTATACTTGAATGAATTTTTTCCACCTCAGGTCGGTCAGTGGCTTTCAATGGCCTTGAACCAGATGATTGATAATGCAGTGTGATGACAGAGAGAGTTATCCAATCTTGGGGGCGAGGTGCTGGGGAGGGCAGGGGTTGTAAACCATGGCCTTGGATACGATCCAGTCCTGAATTATTGCTGCACCACCATGTGATCTACACCACCCTTCAGTCTTCACACCGCGTGTTGGATTTCTGTGTCTGTTTATTTCTGCCGAACAAAAGCATCTTGTCTCTAGACTGACTGTTAACTGTCAGTCATAATCACTATTGTATTTTTTAATGTATTTCTAAATCCAATAACCCTAGTGGCCTTTGTTGTTTTTAGCCCAGCAGATGTGTAAACCAGATTGATGGAGTTTGTCAGACCATTGAGAAAACCATCAACCAGGCTGTTCAGAAGACTTTGGACCAGCTGGAGAAAGACTGTGACCTCATCTGTTCAACCATTAACAGCAGACTGGAACAGGACAGGTGTGACAGTTGCTACCCTTATTGTTTAAGGTTAAAGAGTGCTGCTGTTTTGGTAAAGACAGGGTGGGGAGCTCCCCTTCAGGTCTTTGTTCATTCAGAACTTCTACCTCTGTTTTCAGGCTTCTAAACTGCACCACTGCATTATTTGAACTGCTGCTACCTACAGGTTATTGTCCAATATGCAAAAAACAAACAGTGCAGTTGTATTACACATGAACTCACAGTTGTGCTTTTCTATAATACTGTAGATCAGGGTCCAATGACCAGGTTAAATTGATCTACCTACATTGAAACGATAAATATATATTTACTTAACATACCTAGGGGTAAAGTACTATACATGTAGCTTTATGGCACAGTGTGATTCAATCCTTACAGTATGTGGTCACTACTACACATACAATACAGAATAGTATTTTGTGAATAGACAGTAGAATAGTATTTATATTTTTCATTTTTTTTAATTGTAATTGCTTATGATCTACAAGCACTCAGTTTGCCATCTACTGGTAGACCACAATCTTCTTATTGGGCACCATGGGCATAGATAATGCCTGAATACCTGCAGACTGTACATTTACTACTGAGTGAATTTGAGATTTTGTTCCCGTGTCTATTTGCAGGGCTGATGTGACCTACAGCAGAAGTGTTCGTTTTCACTCCTACTTGTGTGGCTCTCTGGGTGTTTTCTTTCCCTTCCTCTTCATCCTTAGCTTTATAGCGAGTACCTTCTCTAAGGAGCAGCTGGATGAGCTGCTTGGTGAAGGAGCAGCTCTGACACTGAACATCTTTTCGGTAAGATCCTACTGAAACTTTTTATGTATTTACTTTTTACTTAGTATTATCTTGTATTCTGTTTTTTAACTGTGTCTCACTGCTGTCTCCCAGGGAGTGTTTATATACTTGTGGGACTGTATACCAGAAGATGGTCAAGTCATTTTTGTTATAATTTTTGGAGGTTTTTGCTACCTCCTGCTTTTCTTAGCAAAGTTTTACTCAGGGTAAGTCTGAAAAAGTGCAACAAAAAAACCCACACATTAAAATGTGTGTTTTTTTTAAAGATTCTTAGGGAATACATGAGTAAAGATTAAAGATTGTTACAACTGATGCTCTCTTTTATATATTATATTTACCTGGATATTTGTTTGGTTTTGCCACTTTTGTGACTTTTATCTAAATTTGAGCACCTGGAGAAATATAGTTAAACAAAAACAACAATACAAGAAAAAATGGGCATTAAAATCTGAGAAACAAATTGCTGAGAAAGAAACTCACAGATACATCCATCCCATCTTCAGCTTTAAAACCAAAAATGCCGACTTAAAAATGTTCTAGCTACAGGTGTAACACAATGTGTTTACTGTGATCTTGAATTTTTTATGTCCTTCTTTTTCAGTAAAAGAATAAAGACTCTGACCAAGAAGGAGAAGAGGAGGATGTCAGAGTACAGTGATTATGTCCAGGACATGGTCAAAACCAAGAAGGTCACCTCCATTGTGTAATTCATTCATTTGTTCATTCCTTCGTTCAGTACCGTTGCTAAGACTGTGCTTTTGCTCAACAGGGTAAACTGTATGAATGGTACCTTCAAGAATGTGCAGCTGAATATGACCTCTGATCACTGGTGTTGAAACAGACCAGAATACACCCAGCATCTCAAACAAGTGCCTCTGCTGTTGGATTCAGGAGAGACTGTGACTGTAGTCATTTGTCATAATGTGAATAGGTTTTAGATTCTTCTTTGTTTTTTAATTATGATTTATGACATTGTCAGTGTTTACAAACAGACACTTCTTTAAAGAAATGTCTTCAACTCGCAGCTGCTTCTGACATCTGACATGTTTCTGTGACGTCTTTTCCAGATTTCATTCACATGTATTCATGTTTCCAGTGGCAATGTTAAATTGTCTTTATTGGAAAAAAATAAGCTTTCAATATTCTTGTAAAAGTACACTGCAATAATGGGAATTGGTGCTCAGAGTATATTTTTATGCATAAACACTTTGGACACAAAGGTGCACAGTTTCTTCTTCCTCCTTTGACTTGGTTGTATCTTCTTAAAGTTTATAGTGAAGTCAGTCACTGCACTTCATCTGTTTCCTCTTAGATGTCTAAAAAAAAAATCAGCACTGAACCTGCCATTTTATCTGACACTCCAATAAAATTACAGAACTTACTGAATTACATAGTGTTTGTTTTTGCCTCAGCACTTAATCAGGGATGCATCAAAGAGAGGACAATTTAGTGTCTGTATTTAGGGGAAACATTGATTTCGTTTCATTTCTTTTTAACTTTTTAATCCCAACACTGATGTACTTTGAGATTCTATATGTATGTGTCTTCTTTGTTTCCCTTGTTTTAATGAAATTAGACATTTATCAATAAGTGAGAGAAGTGTGTGATACTGAGCAATATTTTCAAAAAGTTTGAAATCATTTTGAATTTGTGTGACCTGTACTGAACTGTTTAGAACTTCAGTGTGGAATTGTATGGGGGGAAAAATCTGTCACCTCACTAAAAATTAGCATTAAACAATTCTACTTTGATGCAACTGTTCTGTTTTTGTTTGATACAACTTTACCTTAGTGTACATGCATGTGTTTTGAGGAAAGAAAGGAAGAGAAAAAAATTAAGATGTGAGATGTGGAGTCTGAAAACCACATTGGTTTAATTACTTGGATGGGTCAGCATGTGTGGCATCAAGTGAAAAAGGTTTAGAAGAACGGCAGTGAGACCTGCGACGATGAAGAGTTAGGAATATGGAGGTAGTTTGGACATGGGCTGAAGACAGACACTGAATATATCACTAGACATGAATGCCAAAGATGGAGCTGCCAGGCAGAAGAGAGTGGAAGACTCCAGAGAAGAGTCATGGATGGGTGGATGGGTGGATGGAGGTAGGATTAAGCTGAGATGGGTGCAGGTATTCCACATGTAGGGTTCATCAAGATTCATAGATTTCATATAACAGCGAATGATTATTGGTGGAAGACTTTTTATTTCAAAGTTTTGTTATAAAAATGCCATAATAGATGGGGAAGAAAACAATGACTTCTATTTTTTAAACAGTGTCAGACCTCAAATGTTTTGGTTTCACCAGTATACCAGGATGCAAACTCAACCTTGGCTTAAACCCTTCACACAAAGGGAATGTTTCATAATAATGAAACAATCATTAAAAGAAATGAATGTGAAAGCAATATTGTCATTTCTGCTTACAAAAAGGAGCAGCAACCCCTGTACAAGCCACAAACCTCAGTTCCCTGAGTTAGTACAAACTAAAGGTCTCTGGAGGTGGTGTTTTTTTTTTTGTTTGTTTTTTTGTGTTGTTATTCTTTTTTTTAAAGAGAAAAATCTGCGATAAAATGCACAAATCTATTGACCAAACATTAGTTGATAATTAAAGTAGGATAGGGATTTCTATTTGTGCAATCGAGCAACCCATAAGAAGATGTCAAATGTACAGTGGCCAGTTTGTTGTACTGGTTCATTCAAAGCTGCAGCTACTGTAGGTTTCTGCTGTTTGTCTGGTTGATGATGCTTCATTAATAAACCATAATTTAAAAAATGGTGCAGTTTTAAACATGCAGTAATTATTAAAATGTTAACTCTGATTATGGACTAAAACATTTATTTCATGGCAAAAGGACAGAGAAAAAAATATAATTTTTTTTTTTTTACTGATTTCTAATCATAACAAAGTAAGTGAAGTAAAATATTACAGCCATCTTGAGTCACCACTGTCATTGGTCCTCTTCATAAAGAAGCAGACCTTTAACAGAGGACAGACTCAGACTGCAGGCTGACCAGTCAAGCGCAAACACAATACAATTTCTTGGCTGATGTTGCAAAACTTTCTGTTCTGTCTGTTAAATTACTGTAAAGTCCTAACTATCGACTTCAAGTTTTTAAGGGAATGTTTCATCTTTTCTGGGAATCGCTGTTGTTAATGTCAAATTTCCATTGTTCTCCTAACATGCAGATAATGTAAGAGCCCTGGACCAAATGTGTCATTTAAAAACCTGGGAAAATTCCTACTGTATGCTTCTGTTTACAGCACATTCAGGATTATAGCTATATACAATGTTGTTTGTATAGTAATGTCAACGTCTGTCCCTGGTTTCTTATTAACAAAGTGTACAGGTAGATCCAGCTCACAGAAGCACAGAGACTCAGACCAGTATTGCTGTGTCATGACACATGACGTCAGTGTGTTCAGGTATGGCTACGCTTGTCATAGTATAATTTCTCTAAGGAGTCTCAGCGTTGTCGTCAGTGCAAACACTGTCCTGTCCCTAGACTCTCTGTGTGTGTGTTTGCGTGTGTTCAAACTGGTTTAGCTGCTCAGTGTCTCAGCACCATAAGTGTCCATATTGAGGTGTGCAGTAGGGGAGGAAGGCGTCCTTTCTTCAGATGTAAATCACTGTGAGCCTTTGTCGATCAACCAAGAAATATCCCCAGTTCTGAAAGACAAAATGAAGTCCTAAGAAACACAGAGACACATTTTTTTCCACTCAGTAACAATTCCCTACAGGAATTTGTGTGAGGAAAAAAAAAGCTTGTGTTTTTTCCATACTTGCCAAGTCGTGCCAACATCCTTCAAGGTTTGTTGGTTTGCATTATTTAAAATGAGAGACATGGAAATCATGAATGACACGTGTGTCATAAAAACAGACAAATTAACCATGCAGTAACATAACAGACAGACATTTAAAGAGTATTAGGGCCACGTCGAGAATAAAAAATAAAATCAGATTAATGTCTCAAATTAGATTAAAGTCAAATCGTTACAAGAAAAATGTATGTTTATGAGGGAAAGATTGTAAGAATGAGAATAAAATATGTTAACAACAATAAAGTCATAAGTTTACAAGAATACTACCTTTTTTTAGATTAAAATTCGTAATATTAGTAATGACAAAATACTTTTATGCTTGTGATGCTAATGGTGATGTGATGCTTATTCTGATTCTGATGTGATGTTATGGTGATATGATGCTGATGCTAATGGCGATGTGATGTTGATGCTAACAGGGATGCTAATGCTGATGTAATGCTGATGAGCAAGAATATGATGTATCTCTTTATTTGTGAATCCAAGACCAAAGTATAAGTTTACAAGATGCTATATATTTCTAATTCTGGTGTGTGCTTTTCTCTACTCCCCCAAAACACATGATCGCACATGTCACTTTTTTTTTACTTTATTCTTATAAACATATGACTTTATTCTCTTTTTCTCTTACAGTGGTTTTGATATTCCTACAACTTTCTCATTGTCAATTTAAGACAATTCTAGTAATAGTCAATGTGGCACTGTTCTATGTACAGTATGTATATAACATAATTAAGTCAGGTGTTAGTGTTTTAATAACACATGCACAAACTAAGCTGCTAGTATTTTGCAGGACCTTGACTCTTTAGTAAAAAGTCAACGACTCTAGTTAATAATATGCTTCCTGTGATCTAAGTCACAAGACCCACAACTTGTTGTTGTATTTTCAGAGTGAGAACTGTTTTTTCAGGCTTTTCTTCACAGTGTAAAAAAAAAAAACCAAAGAAAACTAAAGAACAAGAGCAGCTTTTGTGACCTTGACCAGATTAAAGTCTGGTTAATGGACTTACTCCACATCTCGTTTCTTAATCGTCTTTCCAGATCCTAAGACTTCTGCCACACGGGACACAATAGGATCATAGTTCATACTGGCAACAGCGACCACCTCCTCACTCCTGCAGGAGCAGAGGGAGACATGGGGACAAGTTGTAAAACACTAGGACCACATGTTTATATTAGTATTTGTTTAGTAACTAGAGTAACCTAGAGTATTTTGGTGATAGACAGTTATCAAACAGCAGTCTGGTTCTAGACTATTAATTACAATTTGTTGAATAAAACTTAAATTAAGGTAATAAAACAACGGTGCAATAATGGCAAAATTAAAATAAAATTTAAGTTGAAAAAGAAGGTGCACTTTTCTATTAATTTGTCATAAAAGGTTATTCAGTGAAGCCAGGAAACAAGTCCAGGCAGTTATAAAGTGTTTCTGAATGTTTTTTTAAAATCCTTACTTGGTATAAAATGCTACAAATCTGAGTTCATCCAGATCTCCTTGTATGATGACATCATCAAATCCATCACCATAACCTGTACCAATGAGAGACAAACGGTCATATTTTAGTTTAATAAGTGGTTCATGATGAAGCTGATCCAATTCAACCAACAATCTTTCACTGAAGACTAACATCTTCACATTACCTGCGTATCGGATCGTCTTCCCAAACATGGCTGACCAGAAGTAAGGCACAGTTTTCATCTCGGTGGCTTGGCCGATCATGCTGAGAGCTGCCACTCTCCCTGTCAGTGTGGAGAAAATAAACAAACAAATCAATCACGTCACTTGTCCTTAAGTATGCACGGGATATGAGTGCTGTGATAAGCAGCTGAGGCTGTAAATGTGTCTAGTGGTCATAAATATGCTTTATTTTTGTTTATGTTCCCACAAACAATCAGATCAATGCAGCCAATATAGGTAATTGGTGCTAATGTTGATGGCAAGTAGCCATGGCATCTGGTTGGTTGCATTATTTGTTATGCTGTTGACAGTCTCAATGAGACACTTGGGACAAGAGACACATCATATTTATCTACATATTTAATACATATCAAATTGTTTTACATTGTTTAGAAATATTGTTATATATATATTGTTGACTTTTGAGATATAGTTGTAGTATAGTAGCCATAGTAGATATTACACAACATACCACAACAAATATTTTAAAGTGATAATTATTTGTAAAATTAATTAGAATAAAAGTTTCTTGTCATGTGGCGCTTTGGCCCAGAGGCAATGTCTCTGTCATTGGTGTGGAACCCCAGGGTTCACCTCCTGGGCAAGTTCAAATACCAGTTAGGGCGGTTGGTACCTTCCAGTGGACTCACCACCCACAGGAAGGTTTAGGGGGGTTGGTACGGTGCAGTGTGATTTGGGTGGTGGTCATGGAGACTGCTGCCCCCGTGACCCGGTAACGGATAAGCAGATGAAAATAGATGATTGGATGGGTTTCTTGTCAAATCATCTCACTTTAAACTAATTGCAATTATTCCACAAATGTATATACAATTTTATCAATTAGATGGTTTTTAATGTTTGCCAGCATCCCAAAAAAGATAAAAAATAAAAGTAAATAATATAAATAATTGTAAATTATATATTTTGTGAGAGGTGTGGAAATAATTGCTCCATTAGGTGGCACTAATGCCACAAGGATGCAACAGACACTGTTTTATGTAAATGCCTTCGCTTAAACATTTATGTTTGTTTACATTTCCCATGTTTGTATTTAAGAAATTACATCAGAGCAGCAACTTGTGGTCCACATTTAAAAGTGTGACCGTGGTGACATTATTGGAGATGTACAGCTCCATGTTCTGTATCCCCCTGATGCTAAACACTATACATTAACATCCAGCAGAGGGGCATCACACTAACATGTCATTTTGTGATTAGCACCGACTCAGCAACTTTAGATACAGATGTGAAATGAACCCCAGACTGTCACACACTGTCACACACTCACCATGGACATGAGCCATCTGCCAGTGAGGAATGTTCACCTTCTTGTTGTTGCGTGGTGGAAAAGGAAACATCACTACATCTCCACCAGCATATACCCCCTCCACATTAGTCTGCATCATCTGGCACAAAAGTTCACAGGGAAAATGGTTATAATCGGACTAAAACACAGAGTAATCCAGAACAGAGTTCTGCAGAGTACCTTGTTGACAGTAATGAAGCCCTTGGAGTCCATGTGGAGGCCGCTCTGCTTCAAGAAGCCTGTGGAGGGAACACTTCCTGCAGCAGACCACAGAGTTCAGACATCTATCTCAGGATTAGAGTTTTATCAAAGCGGCATATGAGTTTTATATTTATCTTCAATTAGGGCTGTCACCTGCTCCAATGACACACACGTCTGCCCGTAGTACTTTTCCACTCTTCAGTACCACCTCTTTAAGCTGTGTGTCGAAAACACAAAGTTCAGTTGATACTGCAGGTGCTAGACTTTTTTTTCCTTAGAAATCCTGAGGTCTTAGGTGACCTTAAAAATTTCACCACAGAATTCTAGTCACAAATTCTTGACCCAGGAGCCAACTGTGCTCTATTCTTTACACTTTCATTGTCATCACGTGTAAAACAGACGGCAGACTGTGGATCAGAGGATCATGTCATGCTGTGTCTCTCACTTTCTGAATACCTGTCCATGATGACCGATCATCTCTGACACCTCGTTCATCATGTAGAACTTCACCCTGTTGGCTTCAAACAGCTGCAGAGACACAAACCACAGCACAGGCGTGGGAATGGAAAATCTGCAGCATACATTTCTATGCATCTATGTGATCAATCAGTGCTAATGAGTGCATTTACACTGCCCTCTGTGGCCACATTGACCAGAAAAACATGAGCAGCATTTTAACTAGTAGTTTATTTATCTCTCTCTCTCTTCCTTCTTCTCTCTTTGTCTTTTTCTTTCCCTCAGTGAAAATGCTGATGATAGTATTGATGAGGGGGCTTCATGTTCTGAAAGGCTTAATTTCCCTGGAGTGCGTCATACCTTCATTATGGCTTTCCCCGAGAGCTTTTTTGAAGGGAACTGACTCGATCCCTATGACAGAGACAGAATGGGCCTTGTCAGTCAGAGCTGCAGCCACTTCCATACCTGACCGAGAACACACACAGAAAACAAACAAAAAAAAAACAAACCAAATCTGTTAATATGCTATAAACCTGTATTTTGGGTTGTAGTAAAACAAGTAAATACTGGATCAGATAAGATCTGCACACAATACACCGACTACTGCAGTACCAAGTCTGTATTTATTGTATGTATGTATGTATTACTGCTTTATAAAGTATTTATTTTTGTGAATATTTATTTGTGACATTAAATTTCATGTTATTTACATTGTGTTATATTTTATTCTGTGGCTGGTAAAATTAGTAGACCACACACCTGACTGTAATCCTACTAATGATGTGACTTAATGCATATGTAGCAGGAACTGAAAACTTTAGTTAGTGGTTAGTGGTTTTAACCTTGGCACATTGTAGGACCGAAAACTCTTTGAGGGTGTGTGGAATAAGGAGAGTAAGCTATGAGAATTAAGGACAAAGTTTTTCAAGTATTCACAAACTACAATAACAAAGTCTCACAATAACAAAGTTTTATATAGAAACACTAACAGAATTATGTTAAATACCTAAGTACTGTATGTAGTTTTGACAGTATATGGTTCATTCCTTGCTGTAAATATATATCAATGAGATTCTTCTGCTCACCAACAAAAGAAGTTCCCACGATGACAGCGTTCTTGTTGTTAGCCAGCCTGCCTATGCTGTTAGCATCTTCGGGTGTTCTGAGGTGAAACACGTTCCTGACATCTTTGCCCTTGAAGCTCATGGGTTTGGGTCTATTTGGTATGATATTGAAATTAAAGTTACAGACCACATGTTCATGAGCTTATCTGTTAAAAAATATTTGTATTATTATTATTACCTGCTTCCTGTAGCAATAAAAAGTCTCCTGTACTCCATCCTGAGTCCATCTTCAAATGTCACAGATCGTGTTTTCACATCTACAGCCATGGCCTGAATCACATTTTCACAGTCATGGCAAATGGAAGCTGTAAAAACTCCATAAATAAACTGGATGTGTTCTCCTCACTCCTAAAATGTGATGATAATAGGTCCCTGGCCCTGCACCTTTAACTAAAATTAATCACAACTTCACTACTTCTCACCTCCTTCTCTGTGAGCAGTTCAATGTCATAGTCCTGCAGAAACTCCAAGGAGCGCAGTCTCAGCTGCTCCGCTGTGTTGTCTAGGGACTAAGTGAAGGCAGGTTAGTGCTGAGTACATCAGCAAGAAACAAAACAGGAATCCATGACATGATAAAACAATATTTTCAGAGATAGGCAATATATCTTTGATTGTCAACCTGGTTTAATTTATTTGCGGCCATTTTGTGTTGCGGACTAAGTTTATTTGGATCTTGTCCAACTGCGGTTCATTACTAACCTCACCAAAAAAGAAACAGAATCAATACCAAAAAAAAAAATGTATATGGACCCATGTATAATGATGTGTTATTCTACGATGCCTTCCTTTTTTTGGTACTTTTCTGCACTTTTTTGCAAATGGTTGGAGCTTTTCTGAGTGAAAAATATAATTAGTGGAAAATCTATCCAGTAGGTGGCAGAAGTGTCACATAAAATATCCTAACTGTCATTAAAATTTGAAGAAGAAGAAGAAGAAGAAAAAGAAGAGGTGACATTTAATGGCCTAGAGGTTTAAAAGGCCACAGAACTGAGTTAAACTAACTAATCAGAGGAGCGTTAGCTTTGCCTGACCGGATCCGTTTAAGTCTTTTCTTAGGACAGCAGCTGTATCTGTAATGTCTAGTGGACTAACTAACTTCTAACTACTAGTTTTGTTAGAAAAATGTATTGAGAGATTTGGTTTATAAATAAATTAATAAATCACAATCTGAACTGGACTGGTGCTAGGCTGTAGGTTAAATAACTACTGAGTTACAGAGAAACATAAAAATAACAACAAATTGTTTGGTTTTTTAATCACACCTTACAGCCACAAAAACATTTCTCATTGTTTCCTATTGCAGAGAGCCTGTTTGAGCTAAGACATTTGTATTTCCCCACTCCATTTCAAGTTCTTTAACTTGGCATAATAAACCTCTGATAATAAGTGTGAAATTAAATGAACCAAAGACAACCACATTCATATTATGAATATACTAAAGATAGTTCACTTTTGTGTAACCAGACTTCTCCAGAGTGATGCTGCTACATCTGTTCTGTTTGTTTTTTTTTAGTGTTTTTTCGTGGCCGGTGTACAAACCTTACTCAGTTTAGTCCTGTCATATGGAGGATGTCTGTCCATGGTGCATAGGACTATGCGATCAGTGAACCCCTCTTGCCTAAGTGTCTCAGCACAGACTAGACCTGCAGGACCTGCAGCAGTGAATAAGTAATGTTCTCAATCTGAAGGCCAGGAGGTCAGGGAATGAATAAAACCTGAAACACTGACCTGAGCCAATGATGAGAATGTGACTGAAGCCAGTGCTGGAGTTAATGACTGCTGAACATCGAGACATGGGCTTCGACCTCTTTTGTGACTGAAGAGCCTGGAAATGTTCAAGGAAGATTTGGGATTGGTGAGGAGGTTCCGGTTTCTGTTCATGAATAATTCCTACACATTCCTTTACCAGTTACCTGCTTGTTTGCACGGATGATCACCTTGTCCTTTTCAACTCTAACCTGGAGCAAACACACAAACATAAACACAGTCATGTTTACTCTTTATTTAAATGTGCTTAAAGACATAAAAGTGAAGGGAATGTGCTGTAGAGACAGCACAAGGTCAGAAAGGTCACCTGGAATGTTGGCAGGCTGTCCAGTCCAGGGAAGTCTTCGATGTCTCCTGTGGCAATGTTGAAACATGCACCGTGCCAGGGACAGCGCACATGTCCCTTTGACAGCACACCTGAAACCAAAGGGAAAGACATATGTGAGACACGGAGTAAATTACTTTGATTACACCGTCTTAGAGAAGACATCTCTCACCTTTGACAAGAGGAGCTCCATAGTGGGGACATTTGTGAGCCAGAGCTGAGAACTCTCCATGTTCTTTGATCAACAGCGCCCTGCCACCGCCCAGGTCCACCTCTCTCATTCTGTCACATATAACACACAGGAATGATGACTTCACACAACTGAGTTTTTTCTAAATAAATATCAATATAAATTCCAGTCTCTACAATGATGTCAAAACATTTAAAGGGACAGTTATCTAGAAAAGACCACTGAAGTTCTCTGTTGATAAGAAAAGGTAAGTATTTAATGGTTAAATTAAGATAAAACTAAAGGGTTTATGCAAAAACAAAAATCTATATTCTTTGTGATGTCCTTTTTAAAATATTTCACACAACCAGACTCTGCAGATATCAGTAACATGTAACACAGCAAATTTAATTTGATTTTAATATTTTCTTTATCGTGGCGCTTTGGTCCAGAGTCAATGTCTCTGTCATTGGTGTGGAACCCCAGGGTTCACCTCCTGGGCAAGTTCGAATCCCGGGTAGGGTGGTTGGTACCTTCCAGTGGACTCACCACCCACAGGAAGGTTCAGGGGGGTTGGTACGGTGCAATGTGATTTGGGTGGCGACTGCTGCCCCCGCGACCCGGTAACGGATAAGCGGATGAAAATGGATGGATGGATGGATTTTCTTTATCTGTACCACTATATAGAAATTGTACTATACTACTTTTATTTTCTTTGCTTAATAGAAAATAGCAATTTTAGATAATAACTACAACATAATGACAAATATAGTGCCTTAAATAAAGTTTAGTGGAGTTTCTGCCTTAGATGGAATGATTTATATTAAAAGTACATATTTCAATGACAGACCTCCATAAAAGACAAATATAGGAGGCTGCTTTGAAAACAATTTGATGAATTTTCTTACTGTCCATTTTCCAGATCTTTAACGTGACAGACTGAGGCCTCTACATAGTCCCTTGGTTTGTGGTAGGGGGGGAGTGGGGTGGAGTCGTCATCAGAACCATGTCCAAGAGCCCCGTTAGGTCTGCAGTCGGCGAAAGGACTCGCTTTTCCATTGGGTGACAGTCCGTCCACTTCCTTTTCTTTGTCCAGAAGAGAGAGCTCCACTTTAACGTCAACTGCAACACACAAACACACACAATAGTTAAAATCCTGAAAACATTTGACCTGCAATACATAGACACAATATTAAATTGAAATATGTTTAAGTCGCATCTGCAACTAACTAGCAATACAAATGGAGCATAAATCATATATAAGACAACAGATGAAATCCTCCTTTAACCTGTTTGTATTTTTAATTATGTTTTTTGGTTGTAAAGTTTTATTTTTACTGGACAAAACAAACCAGAAAAGATGGTATAATTTGGTAATCCAATTAACTAATGGGACACAAAATTAATTTTGTGTCCCCATTAATTGAAATTTAGGGAAAGTGTAATTATTTTTAAAAGCTCTGACTCTGTGACCATAAACTACAGATCTAGACAGTGGACAGTTAAAAATTAAGTGGTCTCTGCTTCTCAGGCCATGTGTGTATGTGTGTGTGTGTGTGTGTGTGTGTGTGTGTGTGTGTGTGCATGTGTAACTGAACTTAGGAGAGTTGATGCAGTAAATCAAGTTTTATGTAGGACATGCAGTTTTTTTATGACAGTAGATGTTGCTGCTGCTGCTGCTGTTGTGTATATACTTCTATACATAAAGAATGGTTGTGTAACTCCTTTTCCAGTGCAGCAGGCTGTATCTGTTTGGCTGGAAAATGTGCTGATCATCCAGTTCTTACACAGTAATCTGGTTGGAATTTTTGCCTGCTGAGCAGGTCTTAATTAAAATCAATGGAAAAATTATAGTAGTAGTGCAAATGCAGTGAAATAAAGGGAGAGAAAGAGAAAGCTTTCCACAGATGAAGAGAATCACCTTAAGAATTAAAATATGTATGGTCATACATTCTACAACATTTACCAAGTACCATATTTTAATGAGTTTTTTATATACCATATACTGCACAGTTCCTCCTCTTACCACTGTATCATCAACTTCACCTTTAATGTAGAAGTAAATCCTTAGTATATTTGTGTGTAGTGACAATCGCACACACACATATTATTCAATGAAACATAATTTTATAAAACATGTAAGTTGTTTGTGTAATTTTCTTATTTCAAAATTCATCAAGCGCGCCGGATAGAATACCACAGCGCACTGGTTTTGGCCCACGGGTGTTACGTTTGAAACCCCTGTTCTAGAGTCTAGAGGTTTTGTAAAATAATAATTTTCACTACATCAACAGTAGCTTACTTTCACTTCATCTCCGACAAATAGAACCTTGGTTAACAAGCACCTGCAAGACAGCTTCAAGGAAAAAATCACAGATGATACACAAACACAGTCAAAATGCCACATTCATATCCAAGTATGTCATCATCTTGATCAAAGAGACCCCAGAGAGCATTAAAATTCCTCCCACACAAAACACAACACAGCAAACAGAGCCAGGCGAGAGGACACACAGAAGATTTAGAGGCAGTTTGTAGCCTTTAAATATTACTCCGACTGAACAAAGTGTCTGTGAAAACATTTTAATAAACACAGCCCATAAATCAACACCCAGCCTCTGCAGCATGATGTTTACAGGAAAATTAATGGGCCACGGGTTGCGCCACATTTATAAACTACATGTCAAGTCAACAGACGGTTCTGTGATCAGTGTTGTACACCCGTGTACTTCAACACAACATTTATTTATAACATTTATTTCAGTGTGAAAAACTGTCAGTGCAAATGACCATGGCCCTTGGTTCTGGTGGTAAACAGAAATGTCCATGGATGTAGTGCCATGATAAATGGCTGGCCAACCTTGTTACCCACCAGGTTTTCTTAGTTAATGTTTATAGACTTCATTAATGATGTAAATGGGGCAGTGGTGGCTTAGTGGTTAAGGAAGCGGACTTGGGTCCAGAAGGCTTCAGGTTTGCGTCCACCAGCTGCCAAGTTAGAGTAGAGAGAGTAGAGTAGGGCTTTATTCAGTGAGGTGCTCTGAGCAGAGGTCACATTTGGTTGTGTTACAATGACAAGGAGTTCACTTTCCTTTCCTTTCCTAAATACACAGGTAATAGTAATTTAGGATTAAGAAGATGAAAAAGCACAGTAATGCTAGTTTGACAGTGGGACAAAAGACCTCCTAAATAACTTCAGTGACCTTTGGCCACACCCTTAAAGAATGAAGCTTCTCCTGTTATAAAGGAATAATCACTACAGCCATTTCACAGAGTGATGTTTGGGGCAAAGGCAGCAACATGTAGAGTACAACACATGACACCTTCCAGTTTCTAACAACCCACACCCACTGCAGTGGAGTGGAGTGATTATCAGTGTGTTTCTGCAGCTTTATGACCCTCAATAACAACAAAAACCAAGTGAGTTTGTGTACTCACTTGTGACAGATAAAGTGCTAAAGAAAACAAAGGTATGTCTACCTGGTTTGGGTTTGGAGAAGCATCCTCCCATGGTGGGCCCAGGGTCGACGGACACCGAAGAGGGCACAGAGAGAGGAGGGAAGGTTGGGGAGGTACGGTCAAATCCTGAGGGTTGGCTTCAGGGTAGGAAAGTCACGATAACACAGAACCGCGTGTATGAGATGCTGCTGGTCCGAGGTTGCCATCACACACGTCAGCTCCCCCACATGATCTGCACGGATGAAGAGGATGGTCACGCACACACACAGAGAGATAGCAGTGTAAGGTGTGATAACAGAATGAAAAGTATACTTAAAGGAGATGGATTGTTATTTATACATTCCCATGTAACCATTCCATATAATTTAAAACCATTGAAACTGCTTCCTGTGTCTTGTGTCTTTGATGTGACAAGTGTTCCTCCTTGTAAAGATGTTGTTTACCATTAAAGAGCTCCTCAAATTGCAACACCATGTACAGTCCTGCAAAGACTGAATTTCAAATCTTAAAGGGAAAAAAAATTCCAACCTTTTCCTTGTGTCTCAAACGTGAGCTCGTAAATAGGAAACAAATGTAATTTTCACACACGTTCTCACCTTTGTTCATGCATACTACATGGGAATGTGTTAAATATTAACCGTGCTCTGACACCTATTAACTTTCTCATCACACTGTGCTTTAAAGGGAAGCTTGGGGCCCTTTGGTTTCCAAATCTCTGTTGTTGTTTAATTTAATGCCATGCTGCGCGCGCACACACACACACACACATTTTAGTCATTCATACAGTAATTTGTCACTCGGTCATGAATCTGAGCAGACGCAGGATGTCGGGTCTAACACTCAAAATGTCACAGTCTATCAGCAAATCATTCTTTTAAAGCACAGCCCAGAGGACTGTTTGGTATTCTGAGCACATCCTAATGTCCTGGAACGTCGGAAGGAAGAGAAGGAGTGCAGGGTTGAAAAGAGCGCTGCTTAGGGAAAGTTTCTGAGACTAAAGGAAATAAAGAAGACAGAAAAAAAAATCACTTACTGCACAAAATACTAAATCCGATCCTCAGTGAAGGTAAAACGTGTACTTAATGATGTGTACTATAACTAAAAATGTGATGTGTTTTTTCTACCCGTAGTCGACACAGTACTACCTCAATGTGTGATTTAATTTGATGTTCTATAATATCTGTAAAACACATTCTGCTGCACTCATGTCAATCTAATATTGGCTATATAGCCATATATCTCCCTCCCTCCACCCCACACTCCCTAATGACTTGACAAAATGTGTACAAAAATATGTAATAAATAAAGTATGTAGTAAAAGAAGTTCCAGTCGAGTCCCTAGGGTTGCCAGTTAGATTACAAGGCTCAGAAATGTTCAATCTAAATCATCAGAGTCACAGATACTTGACCTGTCTGAGCTGTCAGTCCAAGTCAAGTCTGCAAAACTCTAAGAATAAGGGTCTTGAGTCTGTGTCCTACCATCTGACATTTAGTCTTTTTGAATGATCAGCTCTCAGGTCCGTGTTAAGTCACAAACTTAACTTGGACAAACTTCAAATAAATTCATTCACTCATTAATTTATCTTCTACTTCCTAATCCTTCTCAGGTTTCTGAGGAGACTTAAGAGTCTAACACAGCAGCTACCAGGTGAGGGCAGTGTATTCAACAGCTTATCACAGAGCCACTTACCACTGACACTCACATTTACACCTGTGGAGAATTCACAGGTGTAAACAAGGTCAAAAACACTCCTTGTTTTTGACCTTGTTGGGAAACTGTCCAAACTGGAGTTGTCCAAGCACATATACACACACCAGGAGAACAAAGCAGTGATCATCATACAGTAGTGTAAGGTAATAGTGTTAATCACTTCTCCCACTAGGTGACCTACATCAATTAAAATCCCCTGGTTTTGGACCTTCGAAAATAATAAAGCAGGTCCATTTGTCTTTTCTACACATGTGTCTTCTTCTCCAATGCTAATACATTACACACAGTTAAACATTGTGATTTTGGTTAAAAATAAACACTGCTTCCTGTGTTTCAGCATCATTTTGCGTTTTTTTTTTTTTTACAACAGTTGCCCCTTTAATAATCTGTCTCTACTGAAAATTTGATCTTTAACAAATTGAATCACAAAGGGGCCGCCATGCACACAACTGAAGTAGGTTAAGCAGATTTGGTCCTTTACAACACATGAAGCTGATTACATTCTCTCACTGTTGGGCCTGTCCCCCAGCCATAATAATAATAATCCTGCCAGCAAACAAGCTGTCACTTTTACTTAAGTCCCTCTAAATGTAATGTTACTGGAATGTTGGGGTGGAGAATTAGCAAAAGTGCTGCAGCTCCTTGGGAGCGGAGGGGGCCAGTCTGCGAACAGGCTGTTATCCTGACGGTCACATCCATCACTCCACCTCATCCCTCATACTTCACACTAGTGTTATTGCTTCTATAAAATGGGAAGACACGGATCTATAACTTCATGAGCTCTAAAACACAATTTAAAACACAGGAGAAGCGACCAGTTAGAAACAAACTAATGACATGACATTAAACAAAAGCAGTAAAAACTGAAGAAAATCTCAACGTATTTGAATATACAAAATGAAAGATTCTATACCACATCTTCTCAGAAACTGATCATTTCATTGCACCACTTAAGCCAGGCCTAATCAGTTGAAGGTTCTCAGGTGAACTACAGCCTAACTTCAAGATAGATTTTTTTCTTTAAAAAAAATCTAATTCAACAGGTTTGGTCTGCAGTCAGGACAGGTAACAATATTTAAAAGAAAACAACACCTCTGTCTCTGGTTACATGCTTTATTCAAACACTTGCTTGGTGAGTATGTTAACTCCTAGTTGAACATTAGAACTCTTTGATCCTCAGCTGATAGCGGACAAGCTCTCACCAAGCCTAACATCTGACCACACCTCTTCTCCCCGACTCTCCTGGTGTTTATAATACGAGATAAGACCCCTATATGCAATCATTGCCTGGTTGCGTAAACCGTCCATTGACCAAAAGTGTCCTCTTCCAGGCCATTAGTGGTGAATTATTTGGTTCATTGTTTATTCCCCACAACTTTAAGTTGGTGGTGGTGACACAGGAGGAGTTCCCAGGTCATGTCTACAGCTATGAAACTGCTGCTTATCAGCAGGTGTTCGGAGAAGTTAGAAAACTCTGTATTCACTTGTTGGTCTGTGTGTTTTAGACTAAAGACAAGATGAAAGTGTGACACAGTTTTAGGATTGTGTTATTTCTGGCCATAACATACAAAGAAATTGATGTTCTCAAAATGACAGTATGGGATTCTGCTTTTATCCAATTGCGTGTATCATGTGATTTATGAAAAAATAAAATTGGAATTTAAAAAAAAAAGTTAATAATATTTCCAGATTTCACATGATTGCTTCAATCAGTTGTGTTATTTAAAACGGGAATTCCCACAGTTTGGAACATAGTGGAATACATTTCCTGTAGTTTGCAACATATTCCAAATCATCATTGGCTGTTGTTTACAAATTCATCAAACAGCTCTAAATACACTGAGTTGAGCCACTTGTGTTCTCTTTCCATCTGTAAAGTTAAGCTGGTCAACTATGGCACCACCCCACTCTGTCAGATCAGGTTTGTTGCCCCTTGTAACAATGACCACTTCATGATGTCATAGAAAACCAGGATTGTGGTTCTAAGTGGGAGCAACACCACATCAGGGGCACACACCTAACACACACACACACACGACTAACACACACATAGTTTTTTTTCTGTTAAAACAATGTGTAATTTTAATAATATATTTTCATTAATTGTGTCAGTTGTGTCGTTAACGTCAGAGTTTGATTGCTTTTGCCTTTGAGGTGTTCAGCTGAACAGTATGATCTGAGTCAAAAATTAACCTGTGTCATGTGCTTTGGCTCAGTGTTTTTCTAATATTCTTTTTCCAGTTACTGTACACTGATCACTAGGAAAGTGTTGTTCAACTCGCACAACTTTTCATGCAAATACTGTGTGTGACCACAGGGCAACGGTGCCTACATTTGATAAAGGAACCGAGTCAACAGCACATGAACTAACAATATGTAAAAGTAAGTGAAGGGAACAGACTGTTGAAGAGAGTGACCTACCAGTGAACATGGAGGAGATGCAGTCAAACTCAGAACACACCAAACTCCCTCTAATGTTCAGATCAGTCCTGGGACCGTGGCAGCTTGTCATCAAGTCAGGGTCCTCACAGTCCTGTCCCTCTGAGATGGATTCTGTCCACTGGAGTATTCCAAGGCTGCATATCCCTCTGTAGCCTCCTCCTCCAAACAATCTCTTCTCCTCTGCTCTGTTGCCTCCTGATGCAGTAAAGACTGTGAGCCTCCTCCTCCTCCGCCTCCTCCTCTTCCTCCTTCAGCAGCAGCAGCACACTGAACAGACCAGTCGTGGGAGTTGCTCTCTTTCGTTGGCTGAAGGCTGCAAATGCAGCACAGAAGACCTCTGCCAGTTTCTCAGCTGCATGCAGTATTGATGGAGTTGCTGAGGGGATGCTAACACAGCATGAATTCTCTCCTCCCTCCCTCGCTCCCTCACCCCACTGTGTCTCTCACTCTCTGTGCCAAAGACTGCTTATGTTCTGTAGTGCCCCCACCAGTGTCCCCTCTATGGAGCTGACTTACAGTATCAGGCCTGATCTGATCTGCTGCACCCCTCCTGTCCTCCCCCCGTCACTGTACTGGCAGGTTTGACTGCTCACTTATCGCACTGCTGGGTGCTAGCTGTGCATACTGTACACATTGTACTGAATGTCTGTGCTGCAGCACCAGTGTCAGCAGTATAGTGGAGGATACAGTTTGTAGTAACCCCTTCCCCACGTCCAGAATATAAATCATGGACTACAAAATGACTTACAAATATGATGAAACTATTACAGTAATCTAGAGCAGTCAGCCTTAACCCCGTCCCCATTAAAATAAGCAGGAACCCAACTGTGAGATAATTTGAGTTAAGAAAAGATCGTTTTGTCACTCCATTGTTGGGGATGGACAACTCCATTGTTGGAGATGGATCTGTACACAACAGTCAGACTACAGTCAGCTCCAGCTTTGGAATAATCTGTAGCTGCAGCTATATAATCAGCAATCATTAGTCTCCCAAACTAAATGCTTCACTTGTTTATGTGTAAATTGATTTTTAAGTTAGAAAAACAAAGGTTATGAAGTAAAAACATTACAGACTTTACTCTACTCATAGAAGAGGACTTTCAAATTGTTAATAGCAGCATCTGCAGGAAAAAAGGGGGAACTAAATGCTCTCATTACAGTTCAAATACATAATAACAAAGTCATCACACCAGAAAACTGCAGACAATGTGACTAATTCTTCAGACTTGCCGTAGCCAAGATATAATCCCTGCTGAGTGTGTATGTGTGTGTATTAGTATGTACAGAGTAGAAGAACAAATGAAAGAGTAGGCTGTACAGGCAGGGCTGGAGTGCAGCAGGATTAAAAAACGGTATAGAGCTGGTGTTATAGAAAAGAGCTACAGAGATATTTCCATTCCTTGAGCACCTGAGAAAAAAACTGCAGTTCACCATATAATATACATTACTCTGTATAATAGTATTATTACACAGGTTGATTAGGATGCAGAAAATTGAGAAAGATAAGTGAAATAATTCATGCACTTTATTAAATTTAGAGGCATTCACCTGATTGACATAAAACAGTTGTAAATACCAAAAACATCAGCAATTAAAAACAGATTTAGTTTTATCTTTATTTAATTCATATCTGGTCACATATTATTGTTTTTAGCTCTTATGTACTTATGTTTACTTATCTTTCTGTTTGAACCTCTAATCTAGTAACCTTTGTCCAAAAAAAATTACATTCAAAGGGCATCCTAGTTAAATAAAGGATGCCCTTCATTTTAAAGAAAGATATAAAAGAGTTTCTATGTCCAGGGGAGTACTACTACAGTGTACTGACAACTGGCACATGAAGTTTAGGGTTGTGGTGGCTTAGTGGTTAAGCGGACTTGGGTCTGGAAGGCTCTTGGTTCGTGTCCACCAGCTGCCAAATTACCACTGAGGTGCTCTGAGCATGGCTCCACCCCCACACACTGCTGCCCGGGTGCTTAAAGCTGTCTGAATAATTACCAACATGAAAAAAATAAAAAATAATAATGTTTCCTTATAAAAAGGGAATGCTTTCATTGTTAAAAGTAGTAAGAAGTACAAAGTACATAATGACATAATAACACAATAAGGTGGGAATTATCTATATCTATGTAATTTGTATAAACATGACTTGAAAAAAAATGAAATGAATGAAAACAAATCAAAATAATAAAATGCATTTATACTACACTAAAATATTTAATAAAATACTTTAAATTATTTTAAAATATTAAATTAATGTCTCAATAACATGAAATCATAAGCTTTCGGCCTCGAAATAATAAGATTCTCCAAAACGAGAAAATGTCTCAAAATGACAACTTACTAAAGTAAAATAACTAAGTGAGGTCAATGGCACTATTGTATCCTTGTTATAGAGGTTCACTGGAAAGGCAACACTCTCTAATTAATCAAATGTACAGTACCTTCTAAAGCAACAGTTCACATTGAGGGATACAGTTCTTCTGTTTTCAGAAAAGTTGTTTATGTCAGAACTATTATCTCTGAAGAACATTTTATTCACACACATTAGATGATGATAATTCTATAGAACCTCTGTTTTTAGGTAGTGATTTGTCCTGTCCTTCAACTGCGGGTCAGTCTGGAAACTCTGTGACCTCAGGCCATAGTCTCCCATACACACAGCTATAAAGAACAAAGTCCCTCCAAGGGCCAGTGCCAAACCTCCAAACCAGCCTGAGAACATGGCCTCTCCGTACTCCCACCGTGGCATCACATCAGGAAAACCCTCATTCCAGAAGTCCACCACAGTGGTGTAGGCAACGATAGAGACGGGAGCCAAGGTGGTGAGACCGGACACCCAGGACAGCACACCGCTGAGGATCAGGAGAAACCTTTTACGTCCAGGATGCTGGACACATATCTCAACACCTTCCAGACCAGGAAAGGCTGCCAACACGGCTGAAGCTCCGGTTCCTATGGATACAGACATGAGAACCCTGGAGATCTGCAGGTCCACAGGGAGTCCCATGATGGACTCGTAGGCCTTGCACTGAATGCCCACCTCCTCAGTGTAAAGGCAGGTGTGAAACAGCCCGGAGTACCAGTTCTCCACTTCGTTCAGTTCTGAGTTCATAGTCTTCCACAGGGGCATAAACATGGTGACGAAAGACGTCACCAAACCCCCGAATGTCACAAAGAGTGCCGTCCTCTGCATCATTTTTGTTGTGAGGAAGACCATCTTCTGCCTGTGCACAAACACACAGAACACTCAGTGTTGGTGGATCTGTGCAGGTAGAGAAGTCAGTTAGGAGATCAGGCAGAGTCTGTCTGCGGTCCGTCCCACCTGCTGAGGTGGCACAATCAGTCTGGACAGTCCACTTATTCACTCTCCTTAATAAAATGCAGCGGATAAGAGGGAAGATAATCAAGGACGACAAGGAGACAAGAAGCATACTGTTTTGTTTCAGTGTTCAATGTCATCAGTGAACAAAGAACTCTGTTTTTAACATGAAACTGGATACGTCCAGGAGGACTCCTGTGTGCGAGTGTGTGTGTGTGTGTGTGTGTGTGTGTGTGTGTGTGTGTACTAACTAAGACAAATCTTAAAAGAAGGAAACATGAGTAATCTTAGATTGAGGTGGGGGTTACTACAACCGAAAAGAAAAAAGAATGCAATTCTGTCCTAAATAGAAACTTGAGGCCCAGTCTGTGTTGCTCAGATATTTACTTTTTTTTTTACTAGGTTTAAATAATTTCCAACAGAAATCAGCAGTGAGATTATTAATGTTTTCATTATGTCTTTCACACTCTCAGGGAATTGGATGCTTGAGCTTTGCCAGATGTCTCAGGTGTCTGGACTATCAATGGGACATTGTGCTCATTGCAGTGATTCCAGCAGCAGAGTCCAAACCGGAGTAGAAATCTGTTGCCTCTGCACCACTGAATACATCAGGAGAGAACAGTGTTCGTGCACCTGTGAAACATGCATTTAGGACTTTACTCTATATTCCTGGCCACCATTGTGTAATTAGACAGAGCATGACAGAGGAAAGACTTCCTGCATATATCCCACAAAAGTACAAAATCCAAATTCAATTTTTTTTTTAAAGTTCTTTCAGTTTTGGGAAAAAAGAAAAAGGAAAACTGATGCTGCTGGTAACAGTTTTGATGGTTGCTCTTGTTTTTAAAATTGTTCCATTTCCATTACACCTTTAGAGGTTTCCATCCACAACACCTGAAGATATAAAGATAAAACTCCAGGGTTCTTAACATGTTTAAGTTACTAAAATGTAACACGTTTTTCATAATTTAAGGCTACATAGAACATGATTTATGTAGCCTTTAATGACTGTATGTAGCCTTAGCTTTTCATTATTCATAATTTTAACATAGAATCGTTGAATGACTGAAAGTCATCATTGGACTAGTTTTAAAATTAATTCTGTGAATGCATATGTGTGAGATGTGTGTGATTGTGCGTAAGAAAGGATGTGTGTGGGGGTGCTGTTGGTTTTATTATGTAAAACACTGCATGTGAACAACACTACATAGGTACAATTTGATTAATTTGTTGATTGATTGACAGGCAGTTTAAATTTAAATTAAGGAATTACAGTGAAAAACAGTTAAAATAAGGTTTAATGGAATTTTGAAGCAATAGCTGTGAAGTGTCAGAGTATGGGATGAGGGGATGGCATTATTCCTATTCACAGGAGGGTGCACTGCAGAAAAAGTTTTGGGAAAAGTTTACACCATAGTCACTAAGTGTGCTGCAGTGTCACTGAAGGCAGATGTAATGGTGATAAATATTAAAGCAAAGACAACACAGTGTGGTGGTAAAAAGATAAATGTGTATCCGTCCGCTGCATCGCAATTCCTGGCTACTTCGTCTACAACTTCAACCTCATATTCTTGTTGTTGTGCTTAGTCCGGCCACCTGTAAGACTGTGAAATGGTCTTTGTCACAGTAGAAGAGTTTGGATGTTTTGATGTTTCACCTACACAGCTGTTCGGGTTTCACATAACGACTTGGAAAACCCTATGTTATAACAATGATGTCCAGCAGCTGTGTGGTATAATTAGAGGAACACACACCCTGATTACCACAAAATCTGTGACTTTGTTCAGTCTACATATAGGAATTAATAGACCATATTATTTATATTTATTTGTAATGTTATAAAATATTTAATATTTTATAACATTTTACCTCTAGTTTTTAAACTAAAATGTTTGCACAGCTTAAAAAACAATTACATGTATATATCTGATAAATACAATTAATATTCATGAAATACCAATTGCAACTAAAGCAAAAATACAAATTCATAACCCAACTCAAACCTGTTTGAATTTAATTATATAATATCTGCACATAGTTCCAGACCATGGTGAGGAGGAGTGAGGACACTTTCAGAGTGGTGCCTCAAACAGAGAATGCCCTGGAGATCTGATCAAGTAACAACCAACATCTCCACTTCTGTTTCCACAGCCTTGTTTTCCCACACACCTCCATAATCCACACACTCTAACTTCAAATTATGTCATTAATTCTGTCTTCTCTTTGATCCTTCTTGCCTCCACTATTGGATTTTTCCTGACTGATTTATCACATCCCCTCCCCTTGCTTCCTACATCAGCTTAAAAAGAAAGTTGTTTTGTTTTTTTTCACAAACTTTTTTTTATTATCGTCTAAAACTTCAATTAATTAAATTAATTAAAGACACAGAGTCAGTATGCAATGACTATATTTTAATGATATTTATTAAGGCTTTTAATGCACGGTTGACAGTAAATAAATTGACAGCAAATAAATGTGTATTTTATGGCTAAACAAGGTTTGTCTTTGTCTGGAACTTGGAAGAAATGATCAGAAGTGTTTCAGTGACAAGAAATGTCACGTCAAACACAGGTCAATTATTAGCATTTAAATTTTTCTTCGTTCCATGCATAGAGGTTTGATGTCTATATCTGGGTAATACAAGTGTGCAGTACATTTTAGATATACTTTTAAGTTGTATCTACAGTATAATTTGAAGCAGTTATTTTAAGAAAATCTGTTTGGGAACAACACTGTACTGCTACTGTGTCAGACTAATGTGATATTTCATGAAATAATGCAGTACAATCTGAAACAAATCTAAAAAAAAAAGAAGAAGAAAAAAACGGAAAAAAAGAAGTGGAAAAAAAGAAAGAAAAAATTTACATGTATACAGAAATAAATAAAAGCCAAAAAATTAAGATTTTTTTAGTTCATATAATGTGTCTCCCATGGAATTCCTCATACTGAGAACATTGAAACTATGTTGACTGAAGGCATTTAAGTGTTTGAGAATTTAGCCATGCAATGAGCAGCATAAAGAACAAAGTGTGGGCAAAGGAGGAGGGAATGACAGGTAACAGGCGGCGCACAGGTTTATTTTCATATGTAGTTATATATGGCTTGTGTGAAGAGGGAAAGGGGCGGGGTCTCGGCCTCATCCTAAATGTCGGAGCCCATCTCAGCACACTGTTTGTCTGATATGTGTGTAGCTAGAGACTCAATGATGTCCAAGAGCAGCAGCTGGCTGAGGGACCGCAGGTTGGGGAGCTTGGATACCTTTGGGAGGGGGAGAGCAAACAAATGAAAAATAATGAGCAACAAATGAAGTGAGGACGACAACAACGAGTCTAACAGAGGAATAAAGAAGCACCCTATCAGGCAGACTGTAAAAAAAAGAAAAAGAAAAGACGCTAATCTGAAATTTTTAACCCTGTAATGACTTCCAGTGGCTGCGTGTTGAGTTGTTTCTTTGAATAAGGATTACAAGTGGTCCTGTGACCTTCACTGGTATGTGAGGAGGTGCTTGTTCAGCCGGCGGAGGTGTAAACAGTTGCTGTGTTACGTAGAAGATGAAGAGTGATGCAACATAAAGGCCAAAAGTGTCGGCCTCTTGCTAAGAAGAAGGGGCTACAGGGTTAGCTCAGCTGCACTGAGTGGGCAGCACACCCCCAGGGCATTGGACACAAGCCCACCCACCTTGATGAACTGGTGGACAATAATATGCAGGCAATGCTTCTTCATGTCCAGAGCCTGGGTTTTATCTGCTGCCTCCAGAATCTAAATAAAGGAGGAGAAAAGAGGACGAATAGAGTTAAACAAAAACATATGTATTGACTCCGCATCAATGTGTAAAGTTGGTGACTGAGAAACATTCATTACCTGCAGGACGTTCTCCACAGTCACATTCATCTCCAGGTTCTGTTTGCAGTAAGCCTGTAGTCTGTTGTTGGAGAAGCCGTAGTAATATGGTGCAGCAAACAGATAACTGTTGATCAAGGGTCAGGGAAATAAAAATGTGCAGCAGTGTAAAAACAAAGACCCTGGCCAAATGTTCTTAATGGCATTAGACCCAACACCAATTACAAACTGTATGTTTATATCAGGAATACACCACACTGCACTGTAGTCGATCAATATGAAAAACTCTGGACTTGTAAATTAACAACAGAGGCAAGTAAACAGGTTACATGGTGCTGTAGGATGAAAAATAGCAGAATTGAAGATTGTGAACAAGAGAATGCTGTCAGTCGTAGGTGAGCATTGAATTATATAAAAGAAACTTAAAGAAAGTGGTATTGTTATTGTGTGTAATGTTTCCCTAGTTCCCTGTTGGGAAAGGATACAGTGAGTCTTCAGGAGGCATGTTAACGTCGCCGTAGTAAATATACCTCAGCATTGACTCGAAGGCCTGTTTACTTGGAACCATCTCACCAATGGAGATATTCACCTGCCCATCCTCAGGCATGAAGGAGCGGAACATTGCTTCAAAGTAACTGAGGAACAAAAGCGAGTGAAGTGTGCAGAGTGTCAGCAACAGAAATATCTAGAGTGCAGAGATTGACAATAAATATGTATTTCTGCTTAATTAAAACCACAGGAAGATAAATGTGTATTATTAACCCTTAAATAACAGAATTTGTATTTATTAAAAATAAGACCAAAGACTTTAACTGATTTCTGAAAAGCCTTGGTAGTATCAACACCAGGCTATGACAATGATGACAACTTGTACTACTGATACCAGCGCTAATTTTAGTTATAATGTAATAATTTGGTTTGTAGGAAAAGCTGTAAAATAGAAATTCAAACTAAGATGTTGTTTTGCTGGTGTTTTTTCTGGGCCTGTCTTTACCTGGACCGAGCTGCCAGTATGGCTTTATGTGCAGGACGTGGGTGACCGTCTAACAGCAGAATAATGTCACAGAACTCCAGACCTCCGCCCTCCAGGGAGGCCTTCATGTCCTGCACCAGGGACGTCCCAATGTCCACTGGTTGGTCCGAGTACAACCTGGGTGGAGGGTGCTGCTTCCTCCTCACTATTTCAACGATGAGCGGAGTAGACAGATGTTCAAACTCCTTAGTCATGATCACCTGGTTGAAGTGCGACTCCTTCACCACAAAGTTAAGGCAATGTTCCTGCAGAACAAAGGTGTTAGTTAACATGCATGTTCATGTTAATAGCTGATTATTGTTATTCTCTCATCTCTTAGTTTAGGAATGAGGCTATAGCAGTTTTAGAGTTTTATTTTACTGCCCTATACTGGTGTAAACATTTCTTGCACTCAACTAATAGAATTCCCAATTGAGCGAATTCAAGTTATCCAAAGTGATTTGTTGTAGCTGTACCTTCAGTTGGTCCAGTTGCAGCTTGTTTGCATTTTCACAAACACTGAGAACATTCTGCAGGTCGACAGATGCCTCAATGTACTGCACACACAGCTGCTCCAGACGAGAGAGCTTAAAACTAAGAGCAAGTTTGTAGACGTCCATAATCAGGAGAACGTCTTGGACGTGACCTACGTAGACAAATAAAGACACGGAATCAGGAATCCGTTTTTCTACTTCTATTCTAAGACTTTGAACTAGTGTGGGAGAAGGATACAAAGTCTGTTACCTCTGCGTGGATACTGGATCTTGTCTGTGTAAAGGAACTGCATTAAGACTTCAAATGGCTGGGCCTCGGCCTCTCTGATGCAAACCTTAAGCATCAGCTGCGTGCCTGATGTCCTGTGGCCTGCTGGGATATCCCTTGGTCCTCCAGAGAGTCCCTCTTCACCCTCCTCATTGGATTCATGTTTAGCTTTCTACACAAAACATGGGGAGTTAACAGTGAGTTACTTCTGTTTCATTTTCCATCTCTGTATCTAATGACTGCTACAATAGTTGTATTAATAAAAGTCAGTCTTATAATTTTAGAAAAATTAATTTGCACAACACCTACAGTTTTAATTAGACTTTTTGACAAAAAGACATTTTATGTTAACATACAAAATAATCTAAAAATATCTGTAACATCAGAGCTACTTTACATTTAAATTTTGAAACCACTGTAAATTAGTAGTGTTGAAAACGTTTTACCCTTCATATGTTCACTAAATATTGTAACATTGTGAAGCTTTTTATTGGTTTGTGCTTTTAGTAAAAATATTTCACTAACGTTACACTACATAAGCCCAAATTTGATATTGACTTTAAGATGTGCACATACATCCAAGTCCAGAAAGTAGGACAAATTGACTTTTGTTTCATTTTCTTTTATTCCCAGACTACATGCAGACGTGTTTCTGAACAAGATATCAGACCAGTCCTTTGGTTTTGCTGACCTGTCTATGTCGATCCCGAGCCTGCAAGATTTTCTTTCTAAGCCACTGACATCTTGCAGTCACTATGGCAATGTGTCCCAGGACTCTCTCCTCCCTCTGTCAACAGAACAAAAGCAGAGGAAGACAAACTGAAATAAATTTAGATTAATGTTTTCTCGTTTCCTTTTTTTATCATAAAAACAGACCTCTCCCAGAATGAACTCCACATCACAGAACTGACGGTTCTCCCACAGTTTGCCATAGTCTTCATGGAGGGTACACTTTGGATAAGATGAAAACTGCAAGATAATAAAAAAATACACAGCTTTAACCATCACTTTCTAGAACAGGAAAACAATTTTGATATTTGATAAAGTCACGTTGAACTATTAGCAGTAGAAACACCGACCTGAAATCTGTACATCTCCCCACTGCGCACATTATTGTCCACCGTCCCTCCAAAAATATACATGGCATCTTGAATCACAGCAGCAGCATGAAACAGTCTTCCACTGGGCATCTGTGGTGGTAAAAGGACACATTCAGCTAATATTAGACACAGTGGGTCACACTAACAATTGATGAAGATTTTATGAAAAGTAATTATGTTTAGGCTTTGTAAATAAATTATACTAAGATAAACAAATTAAATATTTTCACCTCTTGTATTAAGTGTTCTCTGCATTGGCAAGCTTTTCAAAAGCTGTTTTATTTATTTATTTATTTAATTATTTGTCTGGCATTCAATGATAATAATAATTACAAATCATTCAATTTCAATGGGTTTTACAGGATTTTAGAAAATTTGTAGTATTTGTTTCTTACCTCACTGTCCAAACTGGGTTGAATCACCTCCCATGTCTGTGAGTCAACATCATAGCAGTGCAGCTCATTGGGCAGAGTGTTGTCTGCAGCACCACCAAAAACGTAGAGGTGACGATCAAAGGCCACCATTGTGTGACCATATCGTCTCTGAGGAGGAGGAGGGGAGCCGCGCAGTAGATGCTCAGTGGGGATCCGTGTCCATCTGAGAATATGCAGCCACAGAAGTTTGTCCATTATTATGTCTAGCACTTGACATTGTGTTTTTAAGAGTTAGTATCAGACGTATAGAAAGCAAAGATCTGCTCACATGTGTCCTTTAAACTCAAACTGGAAAAGGTTGTTAGTGATCTTTGCTCCACTTTGACCAGAAAACACAAACATCTTATCCCTGCATACAGCCACGGGAGTGTTACAGGAAGAGGGAGGGATTTCACCACTCTGATCAATCTGAAGGAAACAAAGGCAGAAGAAAAACCTAAGACACACAATAAGCAATTTTGGGCAATTTACTATTGCTGATGAATTATTTATTCTCGCCTCTTCCCAACATGCATGTTCTCTGTCCTGAAGACTGATGGTCCACATGTCATTCAACCTGTGAAAAGCAGTAATTTAGTTCAATATTTGGTCAGAAAAAAAACTTAACTTTGTCTTAAGGCTGAAATGGAAAAGTAAATTTACCAAACCTGGCATTTCCATCATATCCAGCAAAAATCCACAGTTTATCATTGTAGACTGTGGCTCCGTGTGCAGATCTCGCCACTGGTAAACTACAGCAACAACAAAAATCAATATTTCCAAACAACAAAAGGAACTGGGAAATATGCACTTGAGTCCCACAAGATAACAATTACAAGTGCAAGACATATACGTGTTTACAGGAACAACTACAATCATCATCCATTATTGGCTTTTGCTTGACTTTTATCATTTACAATAAAAAGACAAATGCAGTCTTTGAACACAAATTACCTTCCCTCCACTTTCCACTCTGTCCACTGGCCAGTTGCAAACTTGTAGTCAAAAAGGTCATTTTTGTTTTTCAGGTTTGAGTTTGAGTAGATGTCTCCAGTGTAACCCCCTTAGAGGAAAACAGCAAATATTACAGCAACAATAAATAAAAAATCAATTAGAAAAGTAAGAACATTAAACATTTACCAAAAACAAACATGCTGCTGCCATAGACCACAGCTGAATGGTGATATCTGGGAGCAGGCGGAGTTCCAGTGGTAAAAGCTCTACAAGAATATATGAAAATATTGCATTATTCTGATGCAATCGACACATGCGAACAGACACACGCAGGTCTTACACTTTGCAATTCTTTTATTGGAAGCCAGAAGCGGTGATCTTTACCTGCACCATGAGCAGTCCTTCACATCGAACCGCAGTAAATCATTCAACATGTTTTTACTGTTGAGTTAAGCGGATGTGATTTTTTTAGAAGATGATGAAAATAATGAAATAAACAAAATTCAATAAATGTTAAGTGATACTGACCCATTGTCTCCCCCAAAGACGTAAATGGCATCCCTATATGCCACCACTGTGTGTTTGCTGCGCCTGGGTTCAAACGGTAATGTTTTAAAAAATAAACACATATATGTTAAAGAAAGATGACTAAATACAGTTAGAGAAGGTCCACGTAATGTCACTGGTGAACATTAATACCTTGCGCCAACAAACTCGTCACATGGAGGGAGTCTTCTCCAGCGATGGACAGTTTCAAATGGTCCAAAATTAAGTGTCAGATATTCCACGCTGTCAGAGCAACTGTGGTCGAAGTCAACGCTTGGAGCAACTTTGGTGGATTTACAGGACATTGTTGCTCGTATTCATCAGGTTAAAACTCACTTCTCATCTGCAGGACCATCCACAACAACATTGTCGATTTCAGTCCTTCAGAATAGGGCCGAAAGCTGGTCTCACTTTCGGTTCCATTGATGGTTATATTAAAGCAGCAAATGTAAAGCTAGTCGACACATCAAACGCTAAAATGCTTCAGCTATCAAAGCGAACAACAATATCGCTGTTAGACAGAAAACGGCATTCACGGGGAATGCAAACCCAAGACTGTCAGTGCTGCGACAATATCTACTTGTATATTAATAAAGATGAACAGTTGCACGAACTACATTGCTAATCGGTAGAACAAAATAATAAATAAATACACGCTTGACGACACATTTCCGTTGTTTTCTTCATTGTTTACTCTACTTTCGTTGTATTACTGCGCCTATGGCGCTCTGCTGCCTCATCTGGTCATTGATGATGCCTTCAGTTTAAAGGCGCAATAAATTATTATTGAAAGTTGATCATTTTCATGTCATGCAGTAGGTAATTGTTGAATGACACAAAGTCAAAGAAAGAAGATAGTCAAAAAAGAAAAGAAGGGAGTAAAATATGCTTGTTTTATTGCTTGTTATTAAGTTTTATTTGTTTTTTGTTTTTTGTTTTTTTTGGAATAGCATATTCACCACAAGAATGCTTTAACATTGATCTTTTGATTGCATATTTCAGTTTAACTGGGCAATTGTTACTGTTGTACTAACCTGCTCAACTCCCCACAAATAAAACACAGAACCATCATCACAGTTGACTGCTTTCTTGTATTCAGTGAACAATTATGAGTTGAAAAGGCGAATTCTACAATGTAAAAAAAATATATAATAACAAAATAATCTTTTATAATCTGTATTAGATTATTTAATGCATTCAAACTGCTTCTTTATCAATCTTTGCAGAATTAGAAGGCTACTGTACATACTGTATAGTATAAACTTGTTTAATAAAGCATGATAATATGGTAATGTTTAAGTATGTGCGTGTGTGTGTGCGTGCGTGCACACATACAGTATATCAAACCCAGCAGAATAATTGACCAAAACCTTAAGTTAAAATGAAATGAACACAAGATAAAGGGGAAGAGTTGTCATTTAATAAGAGTCACACATTTAATAGACACAATATTTAATTTAATCACTTTATTTCAAGGTTACAAAGATTATCATAGACTGTATTGCAAGAAGCAGTGGGGAATGTATGAAGGACAAAATCCCCCCAAAAAGGATGAATTAAAAAAAAAATAAAATCTGTAGAAAAATAAGCCGAGCAGCTGTTGTATTGAACAATAGCTGTCAGTTTAATCTCTGAATTTCCACAGACACTGATTACGAGGCTGTGCAAACACAGGTCAGTGATGTTTGAATACTGTTAGCCATTGTTTAAATTGCACTAAACAGCCTGTAGCTTTTAAGCCCCGCTGTGAATGAGTAACAACACAATAATCTAGATCTTCCATGTTATCTTAAACACCTGCTCTGAGCAGAAATATTATACTACCAGTTACAGAACTAACTACGAATTAAAGGCCTTAATGATGTGATTGATTATTACAGAAAAACCCATCACCGCTATCCATATCTCTTAGAAGAAAAATAAACCGTAAAATGTTGTTATTATTGATTATACATAGCAGTCTTTGATGAAAGATGACCATTTCTTTCTGGAGGTCACAGAAGGAAAAACAGGGATATTTATAATTTAAATTATTATGTCTAAGCCTGTGGTTTCGCTGTTTACTGTAGAGTATGTTGTTGTGTGGCCTCTAATGAGGTAACTGCTTTACATTACACCACTGCTTTTACATTTATTCTCAGTATGATGTTCTGTAGTTACTTAGTTAGTCAGTTTTCTTGTGTTTCTGTGCAATGACAATAAAGAAAGTCTAAGTCTCTTAATTAATTCAAATGTCTGTTGATTTTGTCCTCCATCAGAATTAGCAATAAGCAATACTGTACCTACATTCACAATTTTCACAGGTGTGTTTAGCTCTTAAAAGCATTCCACTTTCTAACACAATCCTAAAATGGCAGCAAATGTGTCGTCATTCAATAAATCACCTAAAAATTGAACCACAAATTTACAAAACATTATCTCACTAAAACCAGGCCAACTCCGAGCAACATTGAATGTTTGAAACGTGATTTATGACAAAACATTATGTAACAAACAGGTTTTTGTATAGATTGTTTGGTCAACATTTCTTTTTTCTCAAGCACCATCAAAGTGCGCATTTATATAAAGTACAAATTCAAAGACATTGAAATAAAAATGAACTTGTCCATCAGTCACTAAGTCTGTTTTCTTGGGGTTTTTTCAAAGCAATATTTAAGAGTGGACTTGGCCTTTTGGTTACCAGTTAATGATGTCTCTGACATGACCCCATAGCTTGGTGATCCAAAGGTTTACTCCGAGCTCTGTTAAGTACTGAATCTCTGGCATCAGCATCTTACGACACGTCTTTTGATGTGTCTTGTCCACATTCTTTTTCATGTTGTAGCCAATGATGGACTTCTCACCAATAGGTTGCCAGGGCTGCATGTCTGTCTCGTGGATGCTACCAGCATCCACAGCATGACCACCTTCAATGCAAATGGATGCCATCTCAGAGTTTCTCCTCCTTAGCTCTGCCACCTTTTTGGCCATCCGCTGCCGACCATATGAGTCTACTTTTTTCCAAAATGTCTTGTTGAAATGTTGGTAGAGCTTCCAGTCAATAGCATTCCATTCTAGGGCCCTGGCCCTCAATTCAGGGGTAAGTTTGGATACAGTGGATCCCTTGCGTGCATTAAGCTTGAAGAAGAGCAAATCATCCATCTCCCAGCAGAGGGTATCCTTGAGTAGGATGAGGGATTCTTCGAAGTATTCTGCCAACATTACAAGCTGAAAACGGTCAGAAATCAATTTGATTCCTTCTTTCACGTGAGGATCATCCACGTTCAGGTTGTTGTCCTGTCCAAAGTCGAAGAACAGCAGATTCTTGAGGTAGAAAGAGTTGAACCCCTCTGTATTATAGTAATGAAGTGGGTCACGTAGGAACTCAGTCAACTTGTCATCACCTGGTATTCTCCAGGTAAAAGGCACCAAGCGGCCAAAATAGTGGAAGGAGGACTCAAACAGCTCTGCAGGGTCTCGCAGAATAGTAATATAGGAAGTGTCCATGGGAAGCACCTTGGCCACTTCAGGTGCATTGAATCGCATGTGATTACAGATAATGTTGAAACACATCCCTGGCCTGTAGTCTTTCACGTGTGAGCGTTCAAAAGGAGATGGGTAGAAAAAGTCATTTCTGCTGTCAGGGAAGGCAAATTTGAGCCGGTGTTTCTCCCCAAAGCGAAAGAGGATATTGATGAAGGTGCTGCTGGCTGTTTTGTGGGTCTTCATGAACATGACATCAACTTTAGGAGCACAACTCTGGCCATGGGATCGGCCTGAGCTGTTATTTGCTGGTTTGGGTTGCACATGAGAAGGACGGTGGGCACAGGAGTAAGGCACTGGAACCCTTCAAAAACAAAGCACAAAAAAACAGTAAAACTCCCACCAATTTGATAAAATTGAAACTTGAATCAATGTGTGTTTTTTTATCTTACTCAGGCAAACTCAAATGGATCTGTGGAGTGGTGAAACAGTAAACCAGGATCATGCAGCTGGTCAGGAAAGTGCCGAGGACCAGGCCTTTGGTCATGGACCGCCACTGCCTCTCTTTTTTTCCAGTCATTGTCCAAAGGCAAAAACTACCTTTAAAAACAAGGTTCATCATGTACATCATCATCATTATAACCATCAGCATCATCTTTCTAGTATTTGCTGACGTATATTTTTTTGAGCCTAGTCTGTGAGTAATTGGACAATGGCAAAAATGCAATTGTTAGGTCGCCACCACAACAGCTGGATGGTGAGGTGTCGTTTATCATCCTGCTTACGTCTGTATGTCTACAAGTTTAGTCTCTATAAAATGTTTTATTATTTTTGGTGTTATTTATTTTTATATTAAACATTGTGGTGTACAGTGTCGGTGTATTGACCTTGTTTTATAAGATCAGGACGGTAAATCATTTGGCTCACATAGTTAAAAATGTATGGTGCCACACCAAATTACATATTTGTGACTTGGGATAGCTTACTGCGTGCTCCTCAGCTGGACCAGAAATAAATAATTCATCCCTGGGGAAAGTAATATCGCATAGCCTCCTGCAGACTGTAAAATGAGCCACCTGCTGACTCAGCTAAACTAAGAACAACGTGACAATGACCCCCAGAGATAGAAAGCTTAGTACAACCCATGGCAACCCCAAAAAAATAACTTTTAAAGAAAACTACATGATAAAATGTAACTACTGGTTAAAAACTGATTTGAATCTCCTTGAATATTGAAATTTTACTACTTTAGCAGTATTCATATAATGAGTATACAGAATAATTACTCTTACTTGTGATAAGCTAAACCCAATTAAAATAAGGTTTACCATACTAAGTTAAGCTAATCAAAACTATGGTGTGCTAAGCTAAACTAGATTTAATAAAGCTAGTCTACGATAAATTGCTAAGCTAAGTTAAAAAAAATGGGTTTTTTTTAACTAAACCTAATAAGCATGACTTACAATTCGACATGAATTATAACCTACTTCCGCGTGGCTCTCATTTAAGAGATAATAATAGGCAGTAAAGTTTATGGTAAGGTTTATTAGCTGTGGTTTTCACTGGTGGTGACCAGGTTAAACATGATTAGAAACAAGCAGAAGAAGATGTGTGGATGTCATGAAGGACATGGAAATTGTTGGTGTAAGGGTAGATAAGGTAGGGTATTGGGTGAGATGGAGGCAGATGACCGGCCGTGGCGACCCCTGAAGGGAGCAGCTAAAGGAAGATGAATAAAATTGGCAGTAAAGTTGACCTAGACAACGGACATTTGTCTATGTATTACTGTAGATGCAGAGACAAGATCAGCTCTGGTTAGACTTTGATGTACTGTACATGTGGTCACTAAATAGAGGTACTACATGCAATTAATAATGTAGTGCAAGAAAATGTATTCAATTGTAATGTTTTTGAGTTAAAAATCCTGATAAGTAANNNAGCAGGAAGCCACTACTAGAAACGTTACACGTCCACCGGAAGAACATGTGGGATTTAGGCTGTGATAAAACAAATATGTACCAACCAATACCTTTGTGAAATGACAAAAGGTGATTTAAAAACTGAAAAGGCAGATACATTAGTACACAATCCAATGACAGATCTTTTGTAGTCTACGTGAGATGACATAAGAGTGATCAATGTTCATTTGCAGTATTTACAGCCTGGCAGTAAGGCACAGATTTCTTCTTTCATTTAACAGTTGTAATAAGACTATATGGTGGCAATCATAAACAGTAGGTTTCATTGTTTTAAACAGATTTAATTCCAGTGCTGTGTGATTTATAAAATAAATTAAATAAATAAATATATTTGAACTACTGTATATTGATCCGATATTTGGGAAATTGTTGTGTTAGCAGCAGATATGCTGTTAACAGGCTGCCCCCACCAGGCGCCAAGCATGTGGTTCCTCTGGAAATCAAACCCAGGACAATCTGCTATCTGCTGCTTATTGTTGATATTTAGAATTAGAAGCCTCTGTGGATTATATTCTCAGCTGTTGAAGTTAAATAAGTGTAAAGTTTTGACTCAGGAACTTTAGATTTGTTCAAATCAGTACTAGTATACTTCACAGCTACACACAAGTGTAGTTAAAAAGACTTTTACTTCCCGTTTTACTGAAAGCTGTTTGATCCAGCTGTGAGTAATTCCTGTTTCCACCAGAGGAAACTCTAATGGGAGACGTTTGCTGACAAGAATAATTCAAGAGAAACACATTAGGGTAGGTGTAACTCACCCTGACGTGCCCTCTTCCCTACTGAAATACTCATTTTAACAGTGCATATTATTTTGAAAACAGTTACACATGAGGTTTGAATGTATTTGCTGTTGTCATACAGTAGGAACTTGGCTGACCTTTAAATGAAATCTGAAACAAAACTATGTCTCCAAGTTGTTTTGGAACTGATCACAAAGTACAAGATTGGATTGAGGTTGGAATTCTTACCCTTATCAAAAAATCCAATAGAAAACTAAAAACAGCATTTTGTTGTCCTGCTGCTTAGTTCTTTTTCTTCCTCTTCTTCTCTCAGTGATATCCCATACATTTGACGAAGGTTGATCTGCTGCCTGCTCACTCTCCTCATGTCTAATGTGTATGTCTCAAGATAAACGTAAACGAACCAGCACGCTCCTTCACTGCTCTTATCACATGTCTAGTGTTCCTGAGTTCATTCATCTGGCTGCTGTTCCTCTTCTCCTCTTTCGCTCTACCTCTCAGCACACACACCTGACGCCTAAAGCTGCTTGGTACCCGCCCCCCAGGCCCTCAAACATCAACTTTCGATTCCAAAACCAATCTCCTTAAATAAAGCACTGCTGGGAGGCTCGTTTAGCCATTTGTGACGTCAGGCTCTGTGTCAGGGGATGTGCACTTGTCAGTGAGTGCAAAAAAGGAGGGTGGGAGGAGAGATGGGGAGAGAGAAAGAGAGAAAGGAGGAGGAGAGATGCTGTATAGTCCCTCTTCTGTGTCTCCATACAGAGGGCTATTGAGTGCAGACACTGGATGTTTAACTGCAAGCTGATAGGAGGGGTGCAAAACAGCATAAATAGAACAAATGTAGAAAAGGCAAACAGGCACAAAGAGTCTAATTGTACCACTTGATCAAAACTGCTCTGTGTCTGATTTGTTTGAAATTCTTCTGTAGAAAGCGGTCTATACGTGCTCAGGACAAATGCACATACAGTTGACAACAGCGTGTCCCGAGCTCTTTAATACACAGCCATGATCACGACACAAGCACACATTTGATTCCACATACAGAAACTGAAGTGTGTAAACCAGGGGTCACCAATGCGGTGCCCGGGGGCACCAGGTAGCCCCCATGGACTACCTAAGGTGGCTGCAGGTATGTTCTGAATATAAAACTAGTCAACAATAGGGTGAAAACTTGTACTTTGACTGTGCTTTTTGAATCAGTTAAACTTACAATGATATTCAAAAAGGTCCAACAACGATGGTAAGAAGAGTGTCTACTGTTGTATGTCCCAGAACTGATTATTATTACATTGTTCTAGAAGTCTTATTAATTAATTAAACAAGTAGCTCTCTGTATTACAGAGTACCCTTGAAGCTCTCAGTTTTAAAAAGGTTGGTGACCCCTGGTGTAAACAAAGAGACGGTTCCATATATTACCTACAGTATGTTCTACATATAAAAGAACATTTGTTTAAAAGAAGCTTTTAAGCAAAAATAAGATCTGTTAAGGACACAAGCAATCAACATAACATGCATATATAGATAGATATATAGCCCCATCTCCAGGGTTAAACAATGAGGTGGTAATACAATGCATGGGAAGTTGGTTCAGGACAATTATTAATTATTATTATTAGCTCTGTGAGGTTGGAAAGGCCTGAGAAGTGGGATATTACGCATGTGTATGTCACTTGTGTTCATGATGTGATGATCTAGTATAGCAACTCTTACCTGCAGCTGCTGGACATAGCTTTATACCAATCTTAAAGACTACTGATACTTTGATTGTTCCGAGAAACGGTCGATCACTGAAGCTTTACTCTGCCATGAGATCCCTCTTCATGCTGCCTATCATTCCACAGTCCTCATGCTGGGGCATGACACTGCTGGTTTTGTTGAGCAGGGGGTGTGCCTTTGCCTGCACTCATCCAGAATGCCCTACAGGGACCTTGACTGGGTGGGTATGCATGGAATGCATATCAGGGTGTGAGAGTGCAATGGGACAGTCTCAGCAATCAATGAAGAGATTGACAAGTGCTGAGCACAACTGACTCAGTCTCTGGGCCACAAACACCACACCAGCTTCTCAGAGGTCAAAGCGACTTATGCTCGTTCGTCATTAACGCCCACTGTGCAAGTGTGACTGCCCACAAACCAGCGTACACGGGATGTTGTGGGACACAAGCTAGTATCAGTGTTCATTCATTATCTAAATGCTAAGACCCTTTCTCAGAATCATGTTTGACTTTCTATGTAAAATATGTTCACGTTTATTTACCTTTATTTGGGAAACAAGCAAGCTCTAAAAGACCTGAGCTGCTTAAGGAACAGAAAGGAAAGTGAAGTCCTTGTCATTGTGACACACCACTGCACACAACCAAATGTGACCTCTGCTTTTAACCCATCACCAAAGTGAACAGTGGGCAGCTTTAAGGACCCAGAGAGCAGTGAGTGGAGACGGTGCTATGCTCAGAGCACCTCAGTGGTAACTTGGCAGCTGGTGGATTCAAACCTGAAACCTTCCGGAATCTTCCAAGTCCACATCCACTTAGCCACCACTGCCCTGTAATATTAATAATTGTCAGCACTTTATGATTCTCATGATTTACTTGACATTTTAAGTTAGACAGATTTAGGCAGCATACAGATACATACCATGTCCACAAGGGCTTCTTAGTTGTTGTTTTTTTTTATGTATTGTTGCCTGGTATCAAGCTTCAGCACATTGTAGTGAGATGTAACACAGTCATGCAAACAGCCAACCCTGGTTGGACACTCCTTTCAAACCCATTCCTTATAACCAGATGGTTTACTAAATTTGTGAACCTCCCAGATTGTTGATTTGTTCATATTTATCAAGTCAGTGACTGATGTACCAATCTTAGATTTTATTACCCTTTCAAGCAGTAAAACAACTTTTATGGAAACATAATCCTCACCTATGTGGTGAGTGCAGGAAGAAACAAAAACAGCCTTGAAAAAGTCCAGAGTTCATCTCAATATTGCAAGATTACATAACAGCATGGACACATTTGTTCTCCACTAAAAATGCATACCATTTGACAGATTTTGAAAGCATAGTGTGTGCTTAAGGTGTGAAGTGTATAACAGCTGAGCAACAGCTATTAACAAACATGGCATTAAGTCACCTTATCATTAATTACACAATTAGTGAGGCCAAGTCAGAGGTTATGATGACCATATCACTGGGCTCCACGGCGTTCCATGACACGTTAGCCTCCTAATCATAAATACATATTTTAAAGGTGACACCTTCACATGTTTATTTTCGTGCCTTCTTCTTTGCTTTTTCTGCATCGTCAAAGGCCTTCCTCTTGGCAGCCAACTTGTTAGCCTGTGGTAGAAAGACATGAATGCAGTTATTAAACAGGTGCTGGGCCCCTTTACCAGTTCACTGAACTCACAGGGTAATCACTAGGTTTCCATGTTCCACCAAGACAAACTCACAAAACAGTTAATTATCGTTAGCGCCACATAATAGAAATATAATGAAAAGACAGTTGAGAACGTTATCACCTGGCAAACATCTTCTCATAAAACTATAATCAATAGCAGAACTACACAAACCTCTCGGGTTTTCCGCTTTTTCCCAAACATGATCTTGTCGTAGAGGTACTTCTCCTTCTTCTTCATCATCATAATGGCGAGACGTTTCTCTTCTGCTTTCTCCTCTTGCTCTACACGAACTACATTTTCTACCTTCACTCTTCCTGGTGTCACCTTGACCTGCAGAGACTGAGAAAAGAAGTTTGAGTTAAACGGAGGAAACAGATGATCATAAAATCAGGAGAAGGAAAAACAAAGTCAAGAAATCTCTTACTTTGCCCTGAGATCTTTGCTCTTCCATTTTCTTCAGGTTCTCCTCTTCTTCCTCCTCTTCTTCTTCTTCTTCTTCTTCCTCCTCATCATTGTCATTTTCATCCTCCTCTTCCTCACCATCGTCCTCCTCCTCGTCTTCATCACCGGCCTCTTGGTCATGGGCTGATAGGGCAGAAAGAAATAGATTATCTGTTTTGAATTTTGACTTTGCATTTCTACTTGAAAATCAAGCCTAACACATCATGGCTCAGGTGCATTTATCCACCAATAAGGCATTTACTGCTGTTCTAGTCAGTGACCTGTTAAAGTATGACCCTGTTTTTATCACTGATACAGAGGATATAAAATGAAAGAAATCACACCAGGTATTTCTCCTCGTTGTAAAGCCATGATCTTCAGTTTTTCAGGTGGCACGTAGTCGCCTTCCTTCTCCTCCACAAATGGAGATAGGTGAGGGGGAAGCGTCACTCCAATGAAGTAGTCTTCAACTGGCAGGAGCATTTTGGCATTGATACAGTCATAAACCCACTGAGGTTGTAGGTAGTATCTAAGGATAAGAAAGGTTATGATATTAGTCTCCTATTATTTCAGAAATCATAGGTCACTCTGTGGAATATTCACAATGTATTTAGAATTTTCCTTACCTGTTGATGTACTGTTTGTCAGCATTGGGTCTGTCAACGATTTGATGTGTGATGGTCTCGTCCGTCACTTCATATGTGCTGCCAATGTAAATAGACTTGTCCCAGGACACCTCGCCGCCAAAACATCTAGGTGATGCAACCACAGACAGGATGTTAAAAAAAGGCTTGGCACCAGTTACAGAGACTGTATCTGCAGCAGAGTTGGCTCACCTAATGACAAAGGCCAGTGATTCTCTGGGTACCTCCCTGTTCAGGAAAAACTTGAGGCCTTCAAAAAGCTTTCTCTGAGCTTCCTGTTTTTTCTGCTCTTGTTCTCGTGCCTCCATATTTTCGATGTCTTCCTAAAAAGGTATCATAGGGGAGACTTAAATCATTTGGGTTTCACACAATAACATGGAGATGCTGACAAAACTGGCAACTGTCAAATCTACAACACTTCACACCTTTATATTTATCCTAATTATTTCTGCTTGCAAACTTGTTTGTCAAGTGCGCAGGATGGGATTATATAGTTGACCAATCTTGTTATAAAAAACATCTTGCCGTTATTGCAAGTTCTAACAATGGTTGGTGGATTCTTAGAAAAGACTCGTGGGTGGAGCCGATGATGGACAACAGTCAACAACCCGAGGCAGAAAAGTTCAGTGGGGTATTTCCTCAAGGTGAAACACGCCTTGGTCTTGGCAACAGTAATCCCCAGTCTCACACTTCTGTAAGCTTGTACTTCTATGAACATATAACCTCTCACCTTTACCCCATGAGGTTAATTAGCCACACAGATCATATTATTAGAGAAACAAGCCAAGATAACACAAGAAGCTGCAGGTCTCACAATTCCTGCAAATGTTCCACACGCACAGACCATGCTTCAAGGTCTGTATAATGATTGACTCACTCCACAAATGCTATGACTGCACAACCAAACTGTGGGAATGTAATTGAAGTGTAAAGGGTGGGTTTAATGTGGGTTGGGGGAGTTTGCTGCTCTGTTCTTTTCCATAAACCAACACAGAAGATGCAATAATCATTCACATAAACCTTATGTGATGAACCCAAACTCATTTGACAGAACTGAATTGAATCTACCTGCTGGAACACTAACACAGTCATGGAAGTAAAACTGTACACTATATAGTAAAAGTGGCACCCCATTGTTAACATCAAAGGGTGTTCAAATGAATGAATGAGAGAAAGACATCTCGCAGTGGTGAGCAGCAGAGTCAAATGAAGACCAACTGAACACTTTCAAAAAGAGAGTGCTCCTTTATTCAGAAATTTATGGCTAGACTTTTTCATCAACATGCTGTTTGCTCTCCACACACACACGGCCTCTGCAACAAAGAGAATATAATACATTTCTTCTTTTTGTAAAATCAAAACATAAGTTGTTGCTTTATTTCCATGAAATATTTTTCTAAAGAAATACACTATAGAATCCAAGTAAACATTATACTGGATGTACTGATCAATCTGTATTCATACACATAGCTGTTTTTTAGATGTGATACCATGACTTGGCTGTGAGCTGTTCCAGGATTTCCATTAGCCACATTACAACACGTGGCTGTTCCAAACTAATCCAGCTCTGAGGTCACAACACTGGCATCAACACCAGTGAGTACAAAAAACTGATGACCCTGCTTGTAAGAAACCTGAGTGGATGATAGTCAATTTCTGCCTCGTGTTTCAGTCTAACCTACACATTCACATCTGACACCTGTCTGTCTTCCACTCACTGCTCAGATTTCCATTTGAAACCGAGGTTTTTGTTACACCGTCTTTGTTTAAAAAGCAGCTAGGTTTTACTGATGCAGTTTGCTTTGACGACACAATGAGTGGCATACTCAATACTCAAGTGGCATACCCAATGAAAAATGGTTTTCTTACCCCTTCAACAGGAAACTGGTCGAGTTGAGCCTCTTCCTCCTCCGCTGAAGAAACCACCCGTGCCAGGCTGGCACTCAGAGCCGACAGTTTCTGCACACAAAAAAACAAAACAACATTGTCAATATTCTATGTATGTAAATGCCAACTCCCTTTATCCTGACTTTGACCAGTGCATTGTGGGTATACTGGGAGCAAGGTGCTTTGCCCAGGGACATATCTACACACAACTGGATTGAAACACATTCCATCTAGGTTGGAGACAAACTCCCTGCTCACTGAGCTCTGCGGGTAGTTGGTTATGCTGTGTCATGCTGCATGCCTCCAGCCTGTATGATGTACTGCAGAAAAGTCAACGTGCTGAGGTAAAGACAGTTGTAGACAAACTGTCACACATGAATACTGCAATTAAACAGTGTAAACAATACTCTGATCTGGATTGATGTGTGATTTCAAGATATCCACATCACATTTACGCTCATGAAAGAGTTCCTTTCATTACAGAAACACTGTAAAACATGGTTTGTGTCTGTGGAAGAAGTTCTTCCCACCTTCACCTAGTCTAAATAGGGACCTTCCACAACCAATGTTTTTAGGCACATAGCACCACCTACTGTACCATAGTGTGTAGTCTCACAATGACCAGTGACATTTTGAACACACTGCTCCTTACACCTTGACACACAACTCAATTTTTATTTTAACCAATGTGAATTGTCAAGCATTTGTATCAATTTTTAAATGATTCATGATGCATTGTTGTACTTTCAAACAACACTGTAGAAATAAGGTTGTAATTAAGCAGATATTTTTTCATCTCTGACAAACGTTTACCCAAACCACCGAAGACAAAGACAACTCACCTCCATATAGCTTTCTGAGTTCATTGCGTAGTCTTCCTCATCCTCTTCTCTCAGCTCCGCCTCTGATTTACTGTCCAGCTGCAGGAGGATTTGCCAACAGGTTAATAAAAAAACTATTAACCATAAGTATTTACCAATTTGCATATTTCTGACAATTAATAAAAGTACAAAATGCTGGAAAGCAAAGTTGAAACTGATTGGCAGAATGAAGGGCACTGGATATTCAATAACTCCACCATCCATCCATTTGTCATTACTTAAATACACAGTACATTTATGTTTTCTTTTACACACACACGAACGAGCCGTAGCTTAAAATACCGTATTTTCCGCACTATAAGGCGCACCTAAAATCAGAAATTTTTTTCAAAAGCTGACTATGCGCCTTATAATCCGGTACGCCTTATATATGGATCAATATTGAGCTGCGACAGGTCTCGCAACTTACGGTAAGCAGCCACCGACTCCATTTTTCCCTGTAGAAGAAGAAGTGCGCGGTGCATGCTGGGATATATTAAACAGCGATTCATTTTCATTTGTGTGTTTGTGTAAAGACCCTGAAATGGCTCCTATTAAGAGACACGCTTACAACGCAGAGTTTATACTCAAGGCGATCAGTCACGCAGTAGAACACGGAAATAGAGCAGCAGCAAGAGAGTTTAACGTTAATGAATCGATGGTGCGGAAGTGGAGGAAGCATGAGGATGAGCTGCGCCAGGTAAAGAAGACTAAACAAAGTTTCCGTGGCAATAAAGCGAGATGGTTACAGTTAGAGGACACATATTGTTATTGTTTTTGCACATTACGAGTGTCACTATATTGTGATTGCACTAACGTTTAATTTACCGTAACAGTATCAGACTGTTTTTTGCGTGTTGACTGAATGGAGGAAAAGTAAAATGTTATACCTTGCTGTTGTTAAAAGATGTTAAAGATGTGTCACGAAAATGCTAATGCTTTACCTCAGAGAAAATAATAAAACAGCTGTTTATTCATTTTGGGAGTGAATGGAGTTGTGGAAAGCTTGTTTGTAATCTATTAATAAAGTTTGACTGACCTATCTGACTGTTTTGTTGACATTCCCTTTAGCGCGGCACCATCTAATGGTTGCATAACGTAACTACAGCCTCTACTGTAGCGCCTTATAATGCGGTGCGCCTTATATATGGAAAAAGTTTTAAAATATGTCATTCATTGAAGGTGGCCTTATAGTGCGGAAAATACGGTACTTAGTCTCAACATGAATGATTTAGGCACAAAAGCATTTGAGAACAAGTAAAACTGTCACTGTCCAGAATTCTAGAAAATTGATTTTTTTTTTTTAAATCTTTTAATACACAAATCATACTAACTCTAAACTGGAAAGCTGAGGGAGTAAATAATGTGTTTCATAGCCCAAAATACCTTTGGTGGGTAGATGACGTTGAGGGAATGGTACAATCTGAAGTTGATAAAACCCAGCAGTGTGGTGTACAGCTCTGTGAAAGTGGCCATGACTCTGTAGTCAACATCTGTTGGGTGCTAAAATGACAAAAACAGAGTTAATTATTTATAAAAACCTATCCATAAAGTACACGGATCAAGAACACAAAACACTTTATTGGCTTAAAAACCAAAGGCTTCATGTCGTCACTCTGCACTTACATCATGAGAGAACTGATATGGCACCAGCCATGTGATGAGCTGTCCCATCACCTCTGCTTGATAATATATTCCCTTGATTGAGAGAAAAACCTATTAAGAAAAACAAATGTGTTAAATGAATGTCAACAAGTCAAGAGATCACATCAACAAGGAACTTTAGATTTAACCTTCTACAAATTGGTGTAAATCATCATACAGTGTTGAGCATTAAAACCTAGCATGTGTGCAATGTTTTTTTTCATTTGGTGGCACACCCAGCAGACTTCATACCCCTGTGTCTCATAAATAGACATCACCTTTCTCAGAGCACGAGCTGCAACAACATAGTTCATCCACTCCACTGTAAGACGTTTACATAAATGGATTGTCTGCACGTGACATTTTCCTGTTCGTGCAAAGGTGGAGAAGAGGAAGCACATGCAGAGGGCGTCGTCAATGTCACGCAATGCATCAATAAAGGACGGGTATCTGTTAGACAAAGACAGAAAAAATAAAAATTGATTAAACCAGTTTATTTATAAAGGTACAATGTATCAAAAATGTCTACGTTCGTCATTGACAGATTTTTATGTGGGGAGATCATCAAATAAGGACTATAGCGCCCCTCAGTGTTAAATGTATATATTAAAAACTCACCTTTCTTTGATGATGTGGTCCAGTTTGTAAGTGGGCTTGTTTTCTTTCAGTCTCTCAACTGTAGACCACTCTGTTTTTCCATATGCCTTCTTAAGTTTGCGAACAAATACCTTTGTAAAATAAAATACATTTTTTAGGATTTTAAGGTTTAAAACTTGATGACTAATAATAAATATTAAATGAAGTCTGGGTATTGTTTTACTTTTCTATATTTTAAATTAACCACAAATCACCTTGTATTCTCTGAACTTGCCAACAATTGGTTCATGCAGAAGAAAGCGAATGTCCTTGAGCATGTAGAAGGTCCTTGGAGCAGTGGAGCCTTTGTTCACCTTCTTCTTGTGCTTGGGTTCGTGAGGGTAAATGCCTTTGAGAATGCATAATCGCCTGAAATATTGAGATCAAAATTAACATGTATTTACATCCAGGTCAACCGGTGTTCTGATCATTCCATAAGTTAAGAAGCATGTTTATTATGAGGCAGCAATTTTTGATGAGCATATGACAGCACTGCTGCCATTATTGGTTTTTTGAGTAGCTTTTCTTTGGCATTTTGGCGCACTATATTTATAAACACTAAAAGCTTAAACTGACAACTGTTAAGTGGTTGCTTCTTTGGTTTTATTCTGTTGTAGTAGTTGTTTGTTTACAACCAGGGAATTAGGAATATCCACAACAAAGGTGGATAAGTGATTGGTCAGTAGCAAGGTGTAAAGTGTCATAAATAAATGATCTCAGAAAGTCAACATTATTGTTACATAATTGTTACATTGTTACATAAAACAACAAGTCTCTGGATGACGCAGCGCCATATTCCATTTATACTGCGTGTCAAGGGATCCTAGTAATCTAAAGTCAGCTGATGACAACATAACCAATCGTTTCTTTGGAGCAGCAAATGTTGAAACCACGTGAAAAAGCTGTTTGCTGTCTGTTTAAACACGGTAATTTCTGTGTAATAAAATTAAATATTGAGTGTTTATATCGAAGCTTTTTCCAACGCGGTGCGCACGTGTCCACTACTACTGAGAGACCAAGCACAATGTTAATCCCTAGAAGGGCATATACTTAATTAATGTACGTATGTATTTTTCATATAGAGCCTGTTGCGGATCAGAGCCATATCTTTCACCTGAAATCTGGGAGGCTCAGCTGTAACTTCTTCCGAGCTTTATTTCTGGTGATGTAGTTGGTGGCGGCGCCCCTCTCGTACTGAAAAAAAAGTACATAGGCTAGTGTTACCATAACAAAACAACAACTGACCTGGGTTATTTCATGTAAATATCACAATATGTTGTTCTATGTTTTGTCAACGTGCCTATTTAAGAAATAAACTACGACTAGCTTTGTTTGCTAACAAGGCTGCTAGCTTTGGTGATTTTAAGTCATGCATTAGACAAAAAGCAGCAAATACCTTCTTTTTCTGAAGACCTCCCATTTATAACAACGATTCCGACTTTTTAAGCAAGTTTACAAATGTTGACCCCTTTGGAAAATATGTACTTCTCCGGTGTGCGCAGCGTTAGCTGTAACCACAAGCAGATGCACGTGTAGCTTGATGTGCTCAAAGGAGGCGGAGCAGTAAGAAGGACCTACGGGTAACCCAATTGTTTGCCTGACTAAAAAATGATGTGCTACCAAAGAAAAATATTTATCAAACAAATTTGATAAAACGATTGTTTCAATAAGTACCTTGTAAAATTTGTGTTAACTATTGTGTGTGTATGTTCCTTCTCTATTGGCCAAAATGAAAAACGGTGTGTAGTATATTTTACTAGGAGTATACTTTACCTACATTTTATCTGTTTTTTCCAATACCTAGGAATTTTATTATGGTGGTCACCATGTGGACTCATATTTTTACTTAGTTTACAGCAGACAACGAAATACCTTTACTTTTTAACAGTATGAATAAAATATATTTTGTGCTTTGAGAGTAATTGAAAGGTAATATTTAATTGACAATCATAATATTGGTTTAATATTTGATATCTAAAAGATATAATAAAAACATCGAATTTATTTAGGGTCAAAGTTTAGATAGATGTAGATCTTGTGCAGTTAGCACCATGTTTGTAGCTCTTGAATTATTAACTGTCAGAAACAGTGAAAAACAAAATGAAAGATTCAACCCCACCCCATTGTCCTCTTCCACCACCCCTGCTGCTACCAGAGATGCTTGGAAGAGATGCAGACAAGAGCTGAGACAGAGCACAGAGAAACAGGATAAAAGACTAAAAAGAAATTAAAGCAGAAGTCTAATTGAAAAATATTGAATTTATAGTTCAGAAAAAAAATCTTAAGCATGTGTGAAATACTTCAAACCTTCATGATGGGACTGCGGGAGTTTTTAAAGGATTATTTTCTTGGCTTCTGGGACTATGAGACACCAAAGGTGATGGTGGTTAAAAACAGAACTCTTGGAGTCATTTACAGGAGTGTGCAGTTTCTTGTGATCACCTATTTCATCTGGTAAGAACGACGTTTCTCTAACTGCATGCTTACCACATTTGGTGATGTCTAGATTTGCAAACATACACGGTTAAAATACATTTTGGAAATTGATGAAATGTAGACAAATATCTTTGGGTTTTTTTTGTATAGAAAAGGTCATTTTGATGAGACCAAACACTTTTCAAAATTAAATCAATAAATAAATAAAAAATCAGACATCATCTGATCCCAAAGGAGTTGTGTTAGAAATAAAATTATCAAATTATCTTCTGATATGTAACTGTAGTATTACCATCTTCTGTGTCTTCAGATTCAGTTAAAATATCTTAACTGAGACCAGTGACATTTGATATCCTTATTAAAAAAATTACATCAATGCAGAAAATATGATATTGTCTCTGCCTGTGCTATCTTTCTGAAGGTATGTCTTCATAAGTCAGAAAGCGTACCAGGAGAGTGAAACCCGTCCAGAGAGCTCTGTGTACACACGCATGAAAGGCATAGCGGTTCATGGTGATGATATCCTGGACACTGTGGAGTACGCTCGACCTCCCGAGGTGGGGCAACTGGAAAAGCAGATTCATGTAGAAATGTTCCTGAAAAATTATCAGTGTTTATTTTCTGCTGTTATAAATGTCCTTAGAAGTGATTTTGGCATTTTCTTCATTTAGGGTGGTGATGTCATCAGTACTATACTGAGACGGGAAGTCACGTATGACCAGATGCATGGCACTTGTGCAGAGGTGCGAGTCCAAACACGTTTAATGTGCAGAACTTTTCTAAAGTAATTTTCCCAAACAAAGATTTTTTTTTTAAATTAATGTTTTATTTCCTTTCAGCATTTCAAAGTTGCCAAAGCCAACTGTACTAAAGATTCTGACTGTATCCAGGGGGAAGTCAACTTTGATGGCCATGGTAAAGATTTAGTATCAGATATTTTACACAATTTAGTTTGTGTTTTTATATTGGCCTCTTCTCACCTCTCATTCAATGTAATAGGCAGAAGAACCGGCAGATGTGTGCAGTACTATAATCACACTTTCAGAACATGTGAGGTACAAAGTTGGTGTCCTATCGAGGAGTTCGCTGTTGTACGGTAAAGCTGACAATTCATAATGACTACAGCCTTAGTAAGAAAAAGATTCAGAGATAGATAATACATATTGTCAGTGCATCTTAAGGGTAAAGTTTTTTTTTTCTTTAAAGAGGTACTTGTCTTTTAACTCAACACTCCTTTCTTAATGTGTAGGAAAACAAAAAAATACTTAATTATCTGAAAAACACAGAAGATATTCAGTTTGTCTGCTGCAGACTGAATTAAATAATAAGTGATTCTTAAATAAACCACAATCCCTGTGTAAAAACATCTCATTCTGGGTTATTAATTCCTAACCTTCCTAAATTCTAGATTAGTCTACACTCAGTGTAATGTATGTAATATTATTTAAATGACAGTTTAATTCTACCACTTAGGCCTAAACATGAAATTAGGCTTAAACATAATTCAATGTAACTTTTTTATTTATTTATTTATTTTTTATGCATGTGGTTCTGAAAATAAGACTATAGATTGATGTACAATATACAGAGGCAAAAATCTAGTTAACACGTGTGATTTGTGTCATGTACAGTGAACCAGCATTAGTGGAGGCCATTAACTTCACCGTATTTATCAGGAACTCCATTCACTTCCCCAGATTTAAAGTTTTGAGGTACAGTGTATACAACACAACTCTAGGCTCGTTGTGGTTTTTGCAGAGACTCAGATGATTATTTTCCTTTTTTTCCATTGGCAGGGGAAATATAAAAGATGCCTCAAATAAACGGAACCTGCACAAGTATCTCAGTAAGTGTCATTATGATGAAGAGAAGGAGCCTTACTGTCCAAACTTTCGCCTGGGCTACATCGCACACAAGGCCAGAGAAAATTTTAGCGAACTCTGCAAAACTGTAAGCACAGTAAGATCCTGAAATTCTGTATTGTAGGATAGGAAAATAATAATTTCATAATTATTCTTTTTACTTAGGGAGGTGTGATCGGGGTTTTCATCAACTGGCAGTGTAACTTGGACCTGGACCCTTCACACTGTAAACCTGCATATTCTTTCCGTCGTCTTGATGTGAGAAAGGATCAGGCCAACTCTGGATATTATTACAGGTGACCTCCAGTGGCCAACAGTGACCCTTTTGACTAATCTATATTTCAGTATTTACCATCTTTAAAACTGTGATTTATGAGTACTTTTTTCAGATTTGCCAAATATTACAGTAGGGAAGGAGTAGAGTCTCGGACACTTATTAAAGCCTACGGCATCAGACTGGACATCATAGTACATGGACATGTAAGTGGACACTTAATACACAATATTCAAGTGGTTCTCAAAATGCAGGGTTGTCCCCCAAGGGTGAGGGGGCATAACGCTGTTGTTGAGGGGATGCAGCAGGTTAAATTAATTCCATTTTATTGTGTAACAGTGGGTAAAATACACTTTTTTGCAACTATATTTCGTTTGTTTAATGTGAATAGCAGTTAGTGAGAAGTATTACAGTTAGTTAAATAAAGTTCAATGGAGATTTCAGGCCATAGCTGTGAATGTGTTGACCAGTGCCATAAGCAGTGGAACTGCTAAAATATTCTACCTCTCCTCTTTCTGTGTTGACCTCTATGTGACAATATTTGGATTTCTTCCTCTACAGGCTGGTAAATTCAGTCCCATCCCAACCATCATCAGTACAGTGACTGCAATGACGTCAGTTGGAATTGTGAGAATCATCATTTACTCTTTATCTTTAGACTTTGAACTGAAAGATTAATATGTTAATGTTATATATTTCTTTTCTTTCACTTCTTGTAGTGCACCATTATCTGTGACTGGATTATGCTGACGTTTATTGACAAAAATGAGGTCTACAGCGACAGAAAGTTTGATGAGGTGAGCAAAGGTCAAAATGTGTTCCGTTGTTAATCAGCTGTGGTCATATTACAGCCTGGTTATTATTGGTTATCACTTGGTTAAACATCTGATAAGATGTAACAGCATGGTTAGTTTTTGGTTAAAAAAAACAAACAAAACTAGGTCAAAGTAACTGTAAAAAATAAAATGGCATTTTATCTGTAAAGGTTTATGTTCTCATATTATATAATAGTGAATTTAATTCAATATAGTTCCTAGACATATAAATTCAGTTCATCAAAATGACACATAGCCACAGCTTACCACATAAGATCTAAAGTGGAATGGCTGCTCAAAACAAAAGGTCAAAGGTTTGATTTCACCCATTTGTCTACATTTTCTTGGACTAGACACTTTACCAATGAAACGTGGTGGAAGTTATATGTGTGCCCATAAAACCTGATTGAAATCCCAAAGTCAAAAAGAGTATAAAGAGTAAAATTTGTAAATGCTCGGAATGGTCATTGAGATTGAAAAGCATTATAAAATCAAAAGGTATTTCACATTTAAATAAAATATTTTGCTACAAACAAGATCATTCATGGTCATCCTACAGTTATTTTTATTGCTCTAGAAATAGATTTAGACAGACTTGTATTGTCATTCCAAAAGAACAAAAGTTTTACAAATATTGTTTTTTGATTAATATCAAAATATATTAACAACAGGTTAAAATTATTATTTGCTCTCTACAGGTTCACAAGGAACCCACGGCACCCATTCCTACGGAGCTCAGCTTCATCAACAGTTTTGGCTCGAACCATTCTGACCTGTCAGACGGTGTTCCACTGTGATGTCATCGAATATGCAGGTTTACAGTCGACACCTCCATCTAAGTCAGGTGTGTGTGGACTGGATAATACCAGCTGACAAACATGAACGTGTCTGGACTTTCTTTGGCAGCCTTCTTGACAACGGTGACATTAAATACACTGATAAATACAATGACAGAAGGAACAGCTCTGGACCCATTTACTGACTCAGATCTGGATGTACCTTCACTGTTGGACAGTGACAATCAACTTGAGTAAAGAAAACTATAGTCCACTCATACTCTATACTTTTTGCCATATATTGCACATATTCAGCCTAACAATAAATACCTTCATGACTTCACTGTCACAGCATCCCATGGAAGAAAACTTACACAATTCTGAATCTTTTCCTTCTTCTTTTGCCCCGATGTTGACATAATGAGATGTGACAAGAGGAGGAAATGGCCACAAAATGCACAAGAGAGCAGTGAGCTGTAATCCAATAACACTGACATTTCCTGTAAAAGGGTTTCTTTAATAAGATTGCGGTGAGTGTGAATCCATCTAAAGGCCTGAGTGCAGCGCAGTTGTCAGTGGTGGAAAAATACATATGACATAGTAATGATTGATGTTTGACATGATGAATGGAGAGAAGCAACATGTCTGCTTGGATATCATGTGGAACATCAAAATATGTATGACATTTGTTAAGAAAGACTTCAGCATTACATCAGTCTCTTCACATCATGAAGAACTTTGCTTTAAATATTTTGAGTAATTAACAGAGATTTAAAAAGGGATTTTCATCACAGACCCTTTGAATACTGCCCTTATTTGCACTAACCCTGATCCTCCAGAACAGCAAAAACCAATATGAACCACCACAGAGCCTAATCCAATTGTTCCTCAGCTCAAAGTCTTAAATGTAATTACTCAACTGGCAAATGTCCATCCACAGGCAAGTGAGTCAGCCGTGGGCCAATGAGGTTAAAGAGATGGAGTGGCGATAGCATGAGTTAAGATTACTTTGATCTAAACATGCTTGCATTTAAAACATGTTTATTTTATACTTATACTAAAGAAAAATAATTTTTAAAAAAGTGTAATCTCTTATTGAACAAAATATATTGAGGTAAAAAGTACTTGTACTTAACAGTATATGTGTCTAAATATAAACAAAAGGGAATGCCGTTATATAATTAGATTTAACAGCAACCTTTATATATTAAAATACCTCTGAGGAACATATGTTTGAAAGTTAAAAAGGTTTAGAAAAAAATGTATTATTAGAGATTTAATTTACTTATATAAAATACACCAAAAATGAACACAAGAAACAAATACTTCTTTTGCATAATTCTAGGAACTACTGATTGGTTAAAATGTATCTCTCTGAGTAAGACTGATACACTACATACGGCCTGTTTCATTGACGTCATCATTTTACATGACTGTCAGACAAAACGATTGATGGGTTTAAAGATTGAAATAAACAGCATCTAATTTTGACCATTGATGATATGGTTAAGTCTACTGAGCAACAGATGATGTGTTGATGCTGCGTCCACGGACGGACACATGAACAGCAGGAGGGAAGGACATAAGGGACGCACGCTCAAGACAATTAGTCACTGCTGATTAACGAGGCTCTGAAGGGAAGGTTGCAATTAAAAAAAAAATATATATTTTTTTCATGACATAAGTTAAAATAAAAACCACAAGGTTTATAAACTATATTTATTAAAAATCAAAAGCTACAACCAATACACATTTTCATTGACTTTACAAAGTGAAATGAATTTAAAAAATTTGCCAAAGAGACAGCCAAAGAAGAAAAGGGTCACATTCAGTGGAGAGTCTGCTTGTTGACCTGTGGACTCATTATCATGAGCCAATCGATTGTCTCCCCCAGGAACTTCATGTTGTAGTGAGAGGCGATGTTCCGGAACACGTTCACCTGCTGAAAGAAGCTCTGAAAATACAACAAAAGAAAAAAAAAACAAAAAAACAAAACAAGACTGTGAGAACAGATTTAACCTGAAACTCCTATTCCTAATGTTACTTATAGCCTAATGTGACAGGGATATGATACCTTGGCTGAGAAAGTGGGGTCAAAGTCTCCAGCACATGCACAGTACAGGGGCATATTTGCCTCTTTTACTCCTTTACATTTGTTACATACCTGAAATGACACATACACAAGGTTTAACACCATTAACGCCCTGTTTGGTTGGTTAAATATAGAATATTAAGATACAGTAAATAATAGAAAAAGGTTCTGCCAAAACCCATTATGTTAATGAGTGTGTAAAACTGACTAGGTCCTGTAGTGTGTAGCTCATGAGCTTCTTCTGCAGACCTTCTACCAGAGCTGTCTCAATGGACTCTGTCTCATACTGAGCCTGACAGTTGGAACAGAACCACTGAGGCAGGACAGACCCATCCTGAGGAGAAGAAAATGGGGTTTCGATCAGTCTCTTTTACCAAATTCATAAGAAAAAGAAAAGTTGTCACAAGCTCCCACCTGAGCAACAGACGGGTCCTTGCAAAGGTCAAGGTCACGACAGAAATTGCAGTGATGGCAGATGACCTCTGGTAGGACGTAGGAGTGACAGGGGTCGCGGAACTGAGCGTCATCTGAGAATTCTCCCACGTCCACCAGACGCAGAAGGTCTCGCTTTAGTTTGTTCACCTGATTCACTATGTTTGAGTCCAGTGAGAGAACCTGGAGGGAAGAACATATATAAAAGTGTTCGAAAGGTTCAAGTTTGGAATGTTTGTGTTTTATTCCAACAGCAATGTAGTCATTAGGTTTATACCTGGCAGACATATTTAATAAACTCCAGCGCTGGGTTTTTCAGAGTCAGGTGGGATCCAGGAAGGATAGGGAACATCTCTGAAGGCTGAGACACACTGCGTGTACCCGTCACCTTCTTCTGAATTTTTTGAGTGATGTTGAAAAGGTTATGTGTCAGCTCGCTGGACACATACTCCTGGGAGAAGGAGATCATTCCTGCCGCAGTATGAAAAGACCACAACATGTCAGTGTGTAAAAAGAAAAAAAAAGTAATTAAAAGATTCTCTTTAAGGTTTAAGTGTAATGGACAGTAGACTGTGGTGACTGTAATAAGTGTAATGGAGAAGACTGGACTTTAGTGACTGGATCAGCAATACAATAATTTAATACAATAACCACCCATCTTACCAGGAAGAGCACTCAGGTCTCCCACTGCCTGCTGGGAAGCCTGACTGCCTCTGCGTCTCTTGATAGGTGTGGCTCCAGGAGCATTACGTCTCAGCTCCTCTTTCATACTGTGGTAAATGGCTGCGATGTAGGCTAGGGGGAGAAAAAGGAGACAGTATTGTGTAAAGATATGATGAAAACTCAAAAAGAAAATAACTGACGTGAGAAAATCTTTTTTTATTTACCTGAAACAATCATGAGGAAGTATTTCTGACAGGAGGCATTCTGGGGCAGATACTGCATTATGTTCCAATTGCTCTCAATCAGATCTTCCACCTCATCCGTTTCATCCTCTGCCTCTGCTTCGTCCTCTTCCTCATCACTGCCGTCTTCAACACCTTCTTCCTGTCCACTTTTCTTTCGTTTTTTATCTCCCTGAAAACAACCAAAAAACACAAGCGAGGAAGGGCAGATAGGTCATGCACCAGAATTATTGTGAAATGATCATTTTTTGTTCACCAGGTTTTTAGTCATTCATTCATGTTTTTAGCCTGTTTAGCTTATGATCAGAAGAATTAATTAGAATGCCAACCCTGGCAGAGCTGTTTTTTTTTTACATAGATTGTAAATGTAAAGTCACAAATGAAGCTGCTTCACATGTGTTTAAACCCATTTTGAAAAGTTTTTGCACCTAACCCTGATAATGAAGACTTAAAAGTAGATTGGTCAAAGTTTTTCTTGTCAGTACCTCTCCATACATCAGGCTGGAAGGCAGTTTCCCCTTCACACCACCATAGTTTGCAGGATCCATCCACAACAGGAACTCCCAGCATTGAGAGAAGGACAAGGACAAAGAGTGGAAGATTTCTTTGGATTGAATGCTGTAAAAAGAGTAATGTTTTATCAACTTATAGAATATAGTATCGAAATACAGTACTGTTTTGTTTTGCTGTGCGATTAGTATAATGTGCTGTTCCCTCTGTATGTTATTCCCCTAATAGAGACAATAAAACTATCTCATTTGTTGGTATTCGTGTTTTGAGGGTTTTTTGTTTTGTCTGGAGTGAATTATTCATCTGATTACAGATTAAACTAGTTGGTTTAAACTAGTTTGTAGTTTGTCTGTCTAATACACAATTTTTAGTTACTACTAATCCATTTATTATCTCCTACCAAGACGTTTACTAACAAAAGCTATTTTATTAATGCAGAATTTGTGAAAGCATTAAAGATTGATTTAGATAAAACAAATCAACAAATTTGGTGATTTTGATGAAAATACATAAATGGATCAGAATATGTTTTAAATAAAACTTCAATAGTGGCGATCTAATCACCTTTGGGTGTTTGCAGACTTGATGATAAGTTCTTACAAGTTTTTAATAACCAACATTTTCATAGCCACATTTACATTCTAGGACGCAACTGAAGTTAAATCACTAACCTGTTGGTGATGTATTCCACGTAGCCGATGCCATCATCAGTCCTCCGTTTTTTAGTGCACAGGATGATCCTGTTGAAGTTTCCGTACACCACAGTGGAACCCAGACGTTTGAACTCTGCCACCAGCCTGACAGCAGAGAAACATCATGATAAATGAAGGACAGGAAACCAACACAGTTATACATTCAAAAGAGGAGGGCAGCAAAGTAGAAGTCAATACTGTCTGATGAGGCACTAATGATGATTTAGGATTATTTATGTGTCCTGTACTTGTTTGCACTGCTTAAATAATAATACCAACAGTGAATATTAATATACAAAATATTTGAAAAGCTAATTGTTTTATAATTAATATATTCTCTAAAATATTTGACCAGCAACTGGTAGGAGTACAGTGTTTACTACATGTCTGAAAAGCCATCCAGATAATGGCAGTTAAGTCTATGTCTTTCACTCACTGTAGAAACACTTTCTTCATCATGTTGAGCAGTGTTCGGTGCAGCGCAGGGTCATAGAGCAGAGAACTTGGGGAGCGCAGCCATCGGTAGAAATGCATGACCTGGTTGTCAGCATACACGTTGTGGTACATAGTGATCTCTCTGACCCAGCCCACCACCATGCTCTTCAAGATCCTGCTCACACAACAGAGGAAACAGAAGGATGGACAAAAAAATAAAATAATAATAATAATAAAATTTAAGCCTAAGTTGGGTTATCAGGTTTTATTTCGTATATATTTGGGAGTTTCCATAGTTGCGAGTTATAGTTAAGTGTCATTTGACAGTGTATCAAACCCATGTTGAATCTTTGGGGTTTTGAAGTCAGAGTCCACATCAGGTCTGTTTACAAGTCTTGCTCTGGACTAGTAAGTAGTAAATAATCACACTCTGAACTATCCCTTCACAAGCCTGTGCACTGACCTGAAGGTGTTGGAGCACAGAGCAGTCTCATCGTAACTGGCCACAGCGCTTGCTCCCTGATTCCCTGACATCATGTCCTCCAACGACGCCTGCTGGATTACGTCGAAACTGACACCCAGACTGGCTCCGCCCTCCATGTCATTGACATGGTGCGACTGTAGAATAGTGTTCACAGCCAAACTCTGCAAATCCAGCTCCAGGCATACTAGATTCAGAAAAATATATATATTTTATTTTTCATTTGTTTGGGTTTTTCCTAGTAGTAGGGGAGATCTTTGTGTTGTCTTATACCAGTAGAGTAACTTCCAGGAGCATTGATTTCCACTGAGCCCCTGTCATCACTTTCCATGACCAGACGACTGTCGTCAGCTTCTTTTCCTCCCAGGTCAGGTCTGGCTGTGGGCGAGAGCCACAAAAGGTGGTTGTGTTTCTGTAGATGCCTCGCCAAGAACAGATCAGAGCCAAAGATGGACACATCCTGAGGCAGGTTTCCCACAGGTAAGTGATAATATCTGAAAAATATGACATAAGGCTTTATATTTTCTCACCGTGTGGGCACAGTAAAGACTGACAGAAGCTGCAGTGTGTAGCTTATACCTGGCCATGTCAAAGGCCTTCGACAGACAACTGTCCAGGTTGAGGTACTGACGGATCATGCGACGGGCACCGTGTCGTTGCCAGTCCAGCACGTTGTAATTGATCTCATCCACCACATGCACCGGAACCACAGGAAACTCCTCAAGCACTGGCATCCCTGCTGCCAATCGACGCAGCTCCCAGTTTGACTGCACAGCAATGAGAGTGGGACCTCGACGCTCATCCTGGAAATAAGAAAAAAGGTGGCGGAGGTCAAATTACACAGTACAATAACTGTGTAGTGTATGTAGTCGCTATTAAATCACATTTCTTTACCTTGTAGTTCAGCAGAATGCGCTGAATGGCACGATAAATAGCCTTGGCTTCATTTTCAGCTCGGACCTCGAAGTTGTGATTATCCGGAGGCAGAAGCTCCTCTGTCGTTTTTTCCAGGAGGGCAGTGCGTTCAGCTGTGTAGAGGTTACTCAGGTTGGGCATCTGGTTGCTGCGAACCTTAGGAAGTTGAAAAATGACAACCTGAGCATCAGGGCCTATGACTGAAAGCCAATAAAACTTAATCACATATATGTAAAGAGTTTTTTTTTTCTTACTGTGTCCAGGACAAAAACATAGGCTTTGCGCTGCGAGGGGATGAACAGACCGAACAGAGCCTTGTGGCCCTGGCTGTGATGATAAAAGTACATGTGACGAACACTTCCTGAGGAGCAAGCAAAGAAATTCTGTTCAAACCAGCCCCAATGCAGATTTACACTGTAAAATCAAGACAGATTTGGATTTCCCCTAAAGATAATTAGCAGCAGTTGAGCTTCGTCTTACCAGGTTCCAGATAACTGAACTGAGCCAGAGATCTCATCTCCAAATGCTCCAGGTCAAAAGTGTCAGCCTCCCTGCCGGCCAGATCCCTGACCACGTGTTTATTGACCATACACACACAACCAAGATGCACCAGAGCACGGAACAACAGTGGAACCTGAGAGAATAAAGAAACAAAAGAGAAATAATAAAAAAGTGTGATTTTAACAAAAAATCCAGTAATGTACTCTATTATTATAATTCTACTAACTGGAAATACCTTGGGTTAACTAATATCCACTAACATTGATGACATTCTACATTTTCTCATCAAACATCTGGACCTCAGCCCAGTTGTGGCACCTAAACAGGTTATATTGGCCAATTTTAGCAATGAATACACTTGCTCTCAAACTAAATTGATGAGGGTTTTTCTTGAATTATCAACCGTTGTCAAGCACTAGCTTCATTCTGCACATTGCTCAGGTGACTGTTTATGAGCAGCAAAACATAAACCAAAGAATGGAAAAGATTAGATCTCATAAGACAAGACAAAGCCAAATATCCTGAACAATCAACTCATAAACAGACACACAGCAGTGAGTTCAACAAATGGAAAACTTCACTGGTTTGCAAACATTTCCAACTGTCTAAAACTTATAGGATTCTGTTTCATGCCATTTGAACTTTGACCTTTATATCATTAGTGATTAAGACTTAACTTATTATTGCACAAAATCATTATGGTACCTGTGTTTCATAGACTCCTTCAATGTCAGGTGCTGACAGATCAGCATTGATCTCATTGATGTGTTCCTGGTACATGTCCTCTGGTACAGTGTACTCATATAGGTAGTACACAATGTTCGATCGGGGCAGCATACGATTCACCTGAAACCACATTATTTATTATTATAATGCCAATTTTTGTTTTCAAATTTATTTAGAAGTATTACTGTTTGAAAATGACAGTTTATATTTTTTGAAACCATTTTCTTTCATCTTACCTTTTTATAAGTAGCTCCTTCCTCTTGTTTAGGGACCTTCTGATTGACATAGAAGACACGAGGGATATTGAGCTTCATACAGTGGAGGTCATTTCCAATCACAGCCCACAGCTTGTACAGACCAGGGTGACTGGTCTCTGCAATCTTCAGATGACAAAAAACCCAAGACTTTATGAAGATCAAAATAGATGTTTGTCTGGTAATTTCAAGACAGTGATGATTTGACCCCACCTGCACAATTTGCCAGGGCATGTCCAGGATGCTGCGTGCTGTTCTACGGAGGAAATTTCCCAGGCCAGTGGTGGGACCACCTCTGATCACACCTCTACCCACAGACTGAGCTTCACCATCCAGCAGCTTCCTCTTCTTCCTCCTCTCTTTCCTCTGCCTCAGCTGCAGCTCCCACTTTTTTTTATGGTAACGGAGCCACACTAGAATCTCCTCCTGTGTTCAGAGTCACACCAGTTAAAATCTTAAGTAACACACACATTTTTTTTTAAAACATCCGTTATCTGAAATACAGATTTACCTACAAATTACAAATAATACCACCAACAAGTCGTTTCAAATATCTTCTTTTTCTGTTATCAAGTTAAGAAGTAGAATGTTGTATTTTGCATCACAAAATACATAAATGTTGACTTAGCCACACACACACACACAGTGTTTCTGTATCCTTTCCTACCCGTGTATTTCCCATAGGTGGTGGAGGTCCCAGGATCTCCCTCCAGGACTGGGTGAGCTCCATGTCCTGTGACTCTATCTGGCTCTCCTCCCCCTGAGAAACCCGCTTTCGCTTTGTGCTGATGAGGATAGCAGGCTGCAGAGGTTTGGCTGGAAGTCCAAAGTCCTCCATGTCTGCAGTCTGTCCAGGCTCCAGAGGCTGATGGGCCACCTAAGACCAAAAACCACAACCCATAAAATTCACAACAGTCACAAGAGTGGATTATTCACTTGAACTTTTTCAGGGTCATGGTCAAGAATGGGGTACCACACCCTGGTCATTTCATCATGCCACAAATAAACCACTTAGCGCTTATTCAACTATTTCATCGCAGAGTGGAATTATTTTAATAAATATTAAATTAATACAAACATAGTAGAAGGAATAAAAATCCTCTTCTGTTCAAACCGGCCCCTGTGTTGTGGTTTTGTGCAGACATGTTTTGTGGTGCACTCACCTGTCTCTTGCCTTCACAGGTGAACAATTCATTAATTTTCTTCTGCTTGTAAATGTCATTTTTCTCTAGCAGTTTTTTGTGGAGCCAGTCAGGATGTCTCACTCTGGGTACTGGGTTCTTCACCTACAAATTAAATATTAAAAAACACATTAAACATAAAGATGAGCATACATTGATGCACACACTATGAATTGTTGAAATCTCTTGTTGTTGTCTACTTGTTGCAGAGCTGCAGGTATCGTGATGATTTTCTGAATGGCACTTCCCAGCCTCTCTATGTAATAACTCCAATCAAGGATCTGCAAATGCACACAGCAGACATTTCATTAGTGGAAGAAAACATGGTTAATTCTAAAGAAAGACCAAAGTTTTTATCTCAATGTTTCGAACATCAATTTGAACTCACAGAGCGAATGTCCAAGTCATGCAGGCTGGGCATCTTCAGCCACTTACGCAGAAAATGTTTCTTCACACTGGGCTCTGCCTGGAAGATGGCCAGGGGAATGGCTCTAATGGAGAGAAACCAAAATCAGTTATTGTGGAAAGTGTAGCTTTTAACTTCTGGTAATGTGATACGTAGCCTTCTCTACACTAACATTAACGCTTAGAAACTCTTTGTTTTTCACAAAAATCTGAAAATGCATCGTGTCCAAAGCACTTTGACCCAAGTTTGTTTTTACTGTATTTAATTTGACATTTTGTTAACATGGTATGTAGTGTGAAAACATTTTATTTTGTGTTTGTGACTTTTTTGTGGGGAGTAAAAGCCTTGACTTTCCAACAAGAGAGTTCATCATAGCACTCTGACTCTGTTAGGTTTTATGAAATAAAAAGTTTTCTGAATGCAGTTTTTTCAAATGTAAACTCCTTGGTTTAACCATCTTTACTTTGTGTCTTTCTTCACTCTTTAAATATAG